CCAGCCTTCAAAGACGACTGCTTCTGTATCAGAGCTGGGTCATCGTAGTCCTCGTCCAACATCCCAACGACAGAGCAACCGAAATCCACGAAAAGTCCAAATTCATTGACAGTGCGAACTATGCCGCGGTAAGCACTGCGACCGTCGCAGCAGACGTCCTGGAGGTCTTCCAGTGGCTTGGCCCTGCGTTGAAGAGAGAGAGACACCCTTCCGGTGTTCATCCGCTTCTGAACTGCATAGACCGTCAACTCTTGGCCGATTGTCACGCTGTTGCTTGCCGAATTCTTCGACACCTGCAGATTGGGCAAGAAGCAGAGCGAGTCATAGCCAATGTCGACCAATGCTCCAAACTCGAACGTGTGTCGAACGACACCATTGTAGGGCGTCTGGCCGTCTGCAATGATGTCTTCCCAGCTGCGTTTTGGAAGGGTCGAGGGTGCCAGCGCCAGGGTGACCCTGCCAGATTTGCTCTGCTTGTCTGTGATGTAAACCGTGAGCTCACTTCCGGACTTCAAGTCCGCCTTCTCTGCCTGTGCCGAAGACCACAGGCAGTTTGGGTTGAGATTGGGTTCGCTTCAGTCTAGATACAAGCTACACGGAACATGGAATCTTGAGAGGCTTCAGCATTTTGACTACAGAAAGATTTGGAACCTATCCCACACCAAAGACCAGGGCCCTGCATGCTCCAGAGCATGCACTTTGAGCCCATGTTCACGACTCTTTGGCATCCGTCGAACCATACTGATTCAGATCAGGGAGGACCCAAATTGGCCTCGATCACCGCCATCGGAAGCAGTGCAGGCCGCTCAAAGCCTCGGACTGAGCCACCTCTCTTCCGCAGCTCGAACGACATCGAACGACTAAAATATGAACCTGCAAAGCTCTGTGAACAAACGGTGTGTTTCCAATCCCCGTGGTCAACATCGCCTTGACCAAGTGTGACACTCAGGACTGGCCAGAGTGAATCTCAAATTACTGCCGAAAAACATGCAAACTGATATGTGCATGCATGTCCTTCAGATACTACAGATGGAAATTGAGCAGGCGGCCCATGTCTATGAAGGCCCCGCGGCCCTCCAGAAAGCCGAGCACAGTGCCTCGGCCAGCAAGAGCAAGATTCCGGCGGTTTTTGTCGTGCTCACAAGTGTCCTGCCAATTATTGTGGTGCACATGGTGCCCAAACTTCCGGGTTGTGGCTGTGGCGGCCGATGTGCTTCCTCCCAAGAATAGTGTCTTGGAGCCCTCTTCCGTAAGCTCCGTGCCTTTGTGCGGAGTGCGTCCGTCTCCAGGGATCTGACAAGACTTTTGGCCAACATACAAGAGTATCGGACCCGACATTCGTTGCATAACTCCCCTTACTGCAAGAGCGCAGCTAAGATAAATTTCCGTTCTTCACCAGACGGCTGTGACGAATGACGAATTTCTTGTGCGAAGACTCGTCGTGGCTGACGATGGTTTGTGAGCCGCTCTTCCGGCGACCCTCTACAAGGTGCGTCGCCCGTCCAGCGATGTTGGAGCAAGAGCAGGCTCTTCGGAGGTATGCGCACAGAAAGTTGCTGGGGTTGACGTGCGTTGTTATGATATCTATGGCGTCCTATAGCGAGTCATGACGTCATGGGTGGCAGCATGAAGATCTCGACTCTAGAGCGATCTTTCTTGTTGCCTTGAGCGGTCTGAAAATACAAATCTGAAATGCCTCGCCTCTATCCATCGGCGCAACGCCTGACTTCCTCGGTCTCAGCATTCTGAAACTGACTCAGATGCACAGGCAGTGACAGGCTGGCTAACCTTACATAAACATTCTTGGCAGCAAAGCATCTGGGGCTTGTGGCCAGGTCGAGTTTTGATGAATCTGGGCGCTTGCTGACAACATACACCATGATGGCATCACCAACCTGTGATAGGAGATTGAACATCAAGTGAAAACAGCCACGCTCGTGCCGCCATTAGGGATGACTGTGAAGCAGACTACTCAAGTTGCGAACTCGTGTACAGCTCGTGCAAGAACCTTTCACGTGCCCAACTGGCCGTGACATTCTTTTTCATGCAACTTGGGTCTAAAGGAGGTCTGAAGTGAGCTTCTAGGCAGTACAGGCTAAGATCAGGGATGGCAAAAACGCTTGTGACAACTAGGCTGTGTCCGAGCCGGAGGTTAGGGACGCCTTGGTCAGGTTCCATTGTCAGTTCTGCCACAGGCAAGTCTTGCCTAAACCCCTCCTGGCCCGGCGTCCCGTACCACCCCCCCTCCCGGGCACCGGGCTGCGGACAGGCACCCTGGATTTAATTTTGGGGGTGGTCACTCTTGTCCTCCATGCTAGCCACCAAGAACAACACGATTTGCAACGTCTGCCGAAGCCCGTTCTTCAGTCCTTGCAAGGCAAAGCCTGAGGCAGCTGGTCATTGGGAAGCAAGCCTGGCTGCCGAGATCGATATACACGGTCAGGCGAGAAGACGCTTCCAACTAGGTGTAGCCTCGGCCTGCGACTAGATTGTGATTCTTCACAACTGTTCAGTGCTCGCCTGGGACCTCTGTCCCCAGGTCCACAAAGACACCGAAGGGCGCGAGTCGCTGGACGACACCTGAACATCAGCAGCATCTTCTTTAGTTGAACTGTTGGGGACATTAGCGCTCTCTCAAAAGGGCATTGGGGCTTGGCTGCGACATGGGTGCAACTTGCTCTAGGTGCATCTGCCCAAACCTCCCAAAGAGGCAGTGTAAGATCCTCGAACTTGATCACGGCATATCACGACACTTCTCTCTAATCACTGATGCCTGTCGCGGCCCTGGTTACTTTCAAGCAGCTTTTCGCAGTCACGCGCGAACGATGAAGGTGCCGCAGTGATTCAAGTTCACCCCCCCACCCGGTCCTTCATATGGCCTCTGCCCGTCGGCAATGACTTTCTTCCACCTCTCTCTCGGGACTTCCCGGCGATGCAGGCTCAGTAATAGCCTCTTGCTCTCCTCAAGCATGAGCACGGACAGACCCAAAGCCAGTCAGATTAGTCATCTACCTTATCGATATCGGGCTTCGCTGATGAACGCTCAGGGCTACTTCGCCTGCAGGCCCACCCTAGGCTCGAGGTTTCGCCTAGCTCCATTTGGTCTGGACCCGTGGCCGTGGGGACATGCACGCCAAATGTGCGTTTCTATGTGTTTGCGCGCGTGTTGCCGTTCGATGGCTGTGGCAATACTTACCAGAAAAAATGTGTCTAGATGCACATGTTGTACAAAGTTTCTCACAGCTGCTTGAGACATGTATCAAACTCATCCAAGACACTGGGTACTTGCAGCATGCATAGCAGGTCACGGAATCGCCAGGCGAAAGTTGATCGAGCTCATCAGTTTTGCTTGCAAAATATCCATCTGCTGGCAGCATGCCAGGCACCTCGCAGCCCACGTCAACAAGAAGGGCTCCCGACTGCAAGCGGTCGAGGACGATGCCTTCGTGCGGAGCCCATTGGTCAACAACAAAAGTTGCGAGAGGAGTAGGGCCGTTTCTGATGACCTTGGGCGGCCGAGCATGTGGAATCGTCACGTCAGCTGGAGCCAGCGACACCTGACCTCGCTCAAACTGGTGGACGTGCAGCGGTCTTCGTTGTTTGGCACGAGCACTTTCCAGGCGGGGACACCACAGCAAAGGAGCTCGTAGCATGCCATGAAGTCTCGAAGGCATCAGCATACCGTCCCGTTCATGGCTTTTACGTAAGTTTTGCTCTGCCTCCCTCCCGCTCTCTCCCTCTTCCTCTCCCTCTCCCTCGCTTGCTTGCTTGCTAAGGGGTGTAGGGGTCCCCTCGCGGCGTGCGACGTCCAAGGTCCTCTCCCTCGCTCTCTCTTGCTTGCTTGCCTGCACTCAGCCAGTCCTCGCTCTCTCTCTCTCTCTCTCTCTCTCTCTCTCCCTCTCTTCTTCTCCCGGGCTTAAGGGGCGAGTTAAGCCCCCCGGGCACGAAGGCCCGCCCGCCTTTTACGGGCTGTTAAAGGGGTGTGAAAGTCTCTCTCTCGCTCTCTCTCCTTCTACAAAACTCTCTATCTCTTTCTCGCTCTGTCTGGCTCTCGGTTACTCTTTCCCTCTCTCTGGCTTTGTCACCTCTTCGGCATGCTTGAGCACACAACGGCCATGTTTGCTACCATTCGAGCACAGCTAGCCCCGCATGGCAAGGCTTCTTCCGGAAGGCCTTCTTTTCTTAGCTGTTGTGGTGCTGTGCCAACAGTGTTTGTCAGAGCGGCTCCCGCGGAGCCGGCTGTTGCAGAAGCCGGCCGTTGCCCGGGAAAAACAGCAGCAAGAGTACCACTGTCTTCTGCCACTGCTTGGAAGCGGGAAAGATGGGAAAGCTTCGGGTTCAGCAAACGATTTTGATTCAGCCTTACTTTAAGCAGTCACACTCGAACTCACCATGCCAAGCAAAACAGAAGGCAGAAGCATGCATTTGGATGGTTGATGTACTTGGTAAGCCGCAGCTCAGAGGTATCGTGCGGCCTCGTCCCAGCTCAGGGATGTGCACAATTACACCGTGCATCCAATTGCTGCAAGCTACAAAGCAGCCAGAAAATTGGTCTCGAGCACTAGGAACCACTGGAGGTGTTCCAGCCGATCGCTAGCATACGCAGCTGGCCGAGTCAGTGGGATGGCTCCCTGTAGGAGACTTCCACGGCTGTACAGCCTTCACCAGTCTTGCATAGTATGCCGCCTTGATCTACTTGTGACAGCTGAAACCTGCGAGCTGCAACAACCAGCATCTTCAATGCTCAAAATAGGGTTGGAAAGAGCTGATGTCGTCACGGCAGCATTGCCGTGCGAAGGATTGGCAAACACTCTCATGCAGGTGCATCAAAAATGGCTGGTGCGAACCTCACATTCGAGGAGGCACAAGCACTCACGAATTCATCCGCCCCTAGGTGGCAAGAATGCGGAAGGCATCGGCCCCGACGATCCGTCCCGTTCAGAAGCGAAACGCATTGGCAGGCTGACAGGAAGGCTGATCTCATTCATGGGCTCCTTGCTTCAGGCGGAAACCTCGATTCACGTCGAAGGCACTCTTGCTTTGGGCTTCAGAACCTGCCTGGGCGACGCAATGTGCCACACAGTGACGCAGCCTGGGTACTGTGACCTCCTCCTGACACTCTCCAGGCTTCTGCTGGCTTTGCTTCAGCTTCTGGGCCGTTGAGGAGCACCTCCTCAGCACAGCATCAGCAGGAACAGGCATCTTTCCAACATCGGGATGCCAACACGCTGCACAGCTCCCTTATCCCACAGAGACGTGAGATTGAGAAGCTGTGGCCAGGCACTGAGAGCCGGCCAGGGGGGGCGGCGGGGCCGGCAGCGCGATCGCCGAGGGGGTGGCGGTCTGCGTGTCTCTCTGGACGTCCACTTGGGCGGCCTTGGCAGCGAGCATCGGCCATGGCTTCAGCCGGACACCAGCTTCGGCACTTTCATGCACTGCCAGTTGCTGCAAGAATGCGGCTCCTTCACTCCCTGCGAAGCTGACCAGCGCTTGCTCTTGCAGACAGAACCTCGTGCCTGACGAATTGCAAGCGCCGCTGCTTCATTGGGCTCCAAGCCTGCGGGGCTCACGGAAATTTTGCAAGAAGTGGCTGTGCGAGGACAAGACATGGCTGCTGGCGCAGAAGCCAACGCCAATTCTCACAAGTCCGACGCATAGTCCCTTTTCACTCCAAATTCCAGCTGCAGGTCGGCTGAGCGGAAGCACCCTGGCAAACTGGATAAGCTATGCCACCCCCTCGGCCTTCTCTCAAAAGCGCGAAGTACATTTTCTGCACATAGGCTTTCCTTGGCGTCACGACCGTACAAACTATCGGCCAGAGCTATCAGTGTCTTCTGAAAGCAGAGACACGCCGCCCTCCGTCAGTCTGTCATAGGTCCTGCTTTTCGATTCCCAATACTCGGCCATAAATTCCATAAACCATGGACCCAACTGCCATCAAGAAGGGATTGGAGGCTCACTTGCAACTTTAAAGTCAAGACAAGATCAGGCGTGATCGTAGCTTTATCTAGCAGCAAAGCCACAAATCCACTCTGCGCTGCGAATTCCTGGAAGGCTCCTCGCCCCCTGCCTCACGGGCTGCCACACTGCACGTACGAACACGCATACAGATGCTAGTGCGGGAACATGCAGGAAATTTCTATGAAATTACCCACGAAAACTGCATGTAGAGTTTGGAACCAGTCCAAATCGACATGAAGACAGTCACTGACGCAATGAATCTGCAAAGTATACTTCCCTAACTCTAACTCACTGCCGTCTCCAGAAATCAATTTCAGCGACTGCCTGCAGAAAACAACTCTGCCGCTCCTCTGACTCCTCTGTCGAGCATTGCTTCAGGAAATGGCAAGTCAGAGTCTTGAAAACCAGGGGTCGAAGGAGTGATTCGCACTTGTGTTGTGACAAGCAGGTGAGGCTTCACTGCTTTACGGCCTGCGTCTTTTCTCCGTCTGCCACATGCGGCAAGCTTGCCGAGGGGGAACCTGGCAAGTGTGCACCAAATTTTGCACACAGTTCCACAAAAAATGACATGACCGCCAAACCAAGGCAAGCAACTGCTTTCCAATAGCTGGCTGGTCCCTGGAGCGCTTTCGTTGCTCCAGGACTGCTCGAAAGCACGAACCTGCACCGCACCAGGACTCACAGGACTTGAATAACGACACCATGAAAATGTTCGCCGAGAGTGCATCTAAGAGGACCTATTGATATGCGTCGACATTCTTGCAAGTCCGCCAGGTGCGGAGACGCACCTTGTCTAGGCCCTCAGTAAAGGCTGGAACTTTGCTGGCCGGCACTTCGATCTCTCCTCAGTGTGACATGTTCTGAGCTCTTCCAGCACTCACCAAAGCTCGGCCTAGTTCCATTACTTCACTACGTGGTTCTACCCGCCGGACAAAGCCTGCTCCCTCAGTTTTGCATCTCCAAGCAGCTGCGAGACTCGCGAGCTTTGCAAGAAACCTTGTTCCCAGGGGCCCTCCTGCTGAAAGCCAGGCTACCTGGACTACTCATGCAACCTGTTTCGCTAAATTAAACTCATCCATGCACTTCCAACACGGGTTTTGGCTCTCACTGCTTGGCGGCACTCTTCTCCAGAAAGTTGTAAACATCGTGCACCTTTCCATCTGCGCAAATACAAGCGAACAACCATAGAAAATACGGCGAATGCCGCCAGAACTGAGCGCTGCAAAGTCTATCCCGAGAACAACACATTGAGCTGAATAGGCAGGCTGAGTAGGCAGGCAACAACCAGAATACTTGCAAATCTTCTGATGCACCCAACACGCGTTTGTGCGTCTAATTGCTCTCCGAATCCAGCTATTCATTCAACCTGCCTCGTGACTATTATCGCGTGCATGGACATCTTTTTGTTTTATCAACTCTTGCAAGTTCTACCATCTCGATTCTGCAGGTGAGCGGCGTTTCAACTGCTGAAACCAACCAATGTCAAGATATGATCATGCCATGTGTTGGTCGTGGTTGGTTTCGGCTTCTGTGATTCACCACCCGCAATTTTGACCTAATTACGATGGTTGGGGACGATCACATCGCAAGGGTCGTCTTGACGTGCTTTACACCTCGATGCTTGTAGTCCTGAGCCCAGATCGCTGACACACGAGAATGTTTGCTACACGCCTTGCTGTACACTGAACACAACAGAAAACCGCACAGCTTTCCGGGCTCCCGTAGCAACTGTCGGATCAACCTATAATCGAAATGAGAAGGTCACCTTTGCAAGAAAAGGTCGTGCATGCGTGGCATACACAAACTCACACTGTTAAGTAAACCAATTGATGACTGCATGCACGCTAGCTGCTGCCCCATTGCTGAAGCAGGGTGTATGTGGCCCGGATTGCATTGTGTTTGCCGCTGGTGTTTGTCAAATTCTCGTAAACGCGCATGCGCGCGCAATTCACACAAGCATAACCTTTCGCAGGCACGTGGAATCTGCATCCAGCTTCCATTTTGCAGCCACCGGATACGTGCCTTCGTCGGCAACCAAAAATGTCCGTGGCCCCAAAAACTGTCCGTGGCCCGTCCCGTACATTAGAGGCAAACGTGAAAGCAGTACATCAGGCCGTTGGAGCACATGACTTTCAAAAGCAGACGAGCTGACCATCTGTCCGCACTGCACAAGTATGAACCTGACTTGCTGCAACTGCCAGAACAGGTCCTAAATCTGCTGGCACATCACACTGATTGTAATCGTTGTTTCCAAAGCAGACGAGCTGACCATCTGTCCGCACTGCACAGGTGTGGAAACGGCCCGCCGCAACTGCCTGAACTGGTCCTAGATCTGCTGGCGCATCACACTGATTGGAATCGTTGTCTCCAAAGCAGACAAGCTGACCATCTGTCCGCACTGCACAATTATGAGTATCACCCGCTGCAACTGCCAGAAGTGGTCCTAAATCTGCTGGCACATCAACATACTTAAAGCAGACGAGCTGACCGTCTGTCCGCACTGCACAGGTATGGAATTTACCCGATGCAGCTGCCAGAACTGATCCCAAATCTGGCACATTCTGGCACCCAACACTTCTCACGATAACATTCTCCAAAGCAGACGAGCTGACCATCTGTCCGCACTGCACAGGTATAAAAACCGCCCGTTGCAACTGCCAGGACTGGTCCCAAATCCGCAGGCACATCACACTGATTTTTGTTGTATGCGCTGAGGGCTGACAGACCACGGTTCCTCACTACACAGTTGCTATAGCTGGTGCCGGAAATCCAATGCTTTCCAGAGAGTGGTGAGAATGCAGAAGACCGAGTCCGAACGCGCCAGTAGCCAGGCTGAACTGGAAGAATCGACTGAAATGCCGCTCTTGGCATCCGGAAAACTATAGGATATGCCAGGCCAGCCCCCAGCACCATTGAGAAATACCAGCGGGAGGACATGGTCCACGGAGGGGCAGGTAAAGCTGAAGGACAAGATCGAAAGAAGTAGTGCATGCTATGTTGTTTGGTGTCTGGCAAGACAGGAAAATTGTCACAGAGCCGTTTCGCGTGTGATGTAGTTACAACCCACCACTTGCTACAGATCAAAAAACTTCACTGTTGGTAAAACCTCATTCCTTTTTGCTGCAGGCTTGCTTGCAAAAGCCTCATTCCTAAACCGTATTCCGAATACGTTATTTTATTACAGACGACAATTTCCATTTTCAAGGGTTAGGGGTATTAGGGTTGGGGAATATGGTTTTTCTATGGGGGTGTTGGTGTACGGAGTTGAGGTTGAGGTTTTTCTATCGGGTTGTGGGTAGTCATATAGCATGGGTTCTATCATGTGGGTCTTGGTGTGGGTATTTTGGTGAGTTGGGGATTGAGGTATAGGTTGTTATGGTTTTGGGTGTTCAGGTGAGTTATTCCTAGGGTTCTACCTATGGGTCTTTTGGTGAGTTTAGGGTTGCTATGGTTTGGGTCTTCAGGTGGCCTAGTGGGGTGGCATGGTTAGAAAATGGAAATGGTCTATGCTAACTTGTACTTGGGGCTTGTCAGTGGATGATCGAGAGCAACGACCTGATGAGGCAACGGTTCCCCGGTTCCCTGGCTCCATCGCCGGCCTGGTAGTGTGTGAAGTAATGCGTAGCCTCTGCCAGGAGCAGAATCCACAGGCCGACCATGACTCCAAAAAGGACACCTGCCACGAAGTCAGCTTGCAGCTCTTTAGAATCACAACCATATCAAGAGTCTTCAAAAATGTGGCAAGTCTCTGTATCAGACGAAGCACAGCTGCGGCATGCTGCGGCAGGATTCGTTGTGTCCCTCCCTGAATGACCCGAGCTCGATAGCACGGCAAGCATACAAACAAACAATTTGAACTGACCGCAGACATGAACACACACACACACACACACACACCATGCTATTGACTAAACGTGACCAAAAGCTAACCACACAGCGTGGACCTAGACCCGAGCATCTCGACCCAATGCTGGTCGTCATATCTCGCAAACAACCCTGCTTAAAGCGCATGTGTTGCAATGGTCCAGGCGGGACTTTCAGCAGTTGCAGTAGCTGAGTTGAGATGGAGAGCGCGAACCCAGAAGGTAGCAGAACATGACTTGGCTAGAAAGCATCGGTGTGTTGCTCCGTCATGAGCTTTTCGATTAGCAACGGCAAGTAGTGAAGTAGCATCACACTGCAGTCACGGCCTTGCTGTGAGTAGGCGCTCCCAGCAGCGGTGACGACGATGATCCCCATAATGAACACATCGAGCATGGAAATGTGCTTCAGCCACTTCGAGTGCCGAAGGAACCTGCTTCTGCAAAACAGTCAAAGACGGTTGCCTCGAATACCCGTCTCAAGCCGAGACACCTGCATCTGAAAACAGTTCTCCGAACAGGCGATGATGCAATCCTCTACAGCCAAGAAACTGCCAGGCTGCCGCAGTGTCAGGCTCCTTTGACCGCAGATGCCAGGCCCCCCCAAGCAAGCAAAACATGTTGGCGATGGGCAGGGCCATCACGAACACAGTCAGCATCACCACAGCCTCAGCACCAAGGACTCGAATTCTCCCATTGTTTAACATTGGCTAGGTCGACTCGCCACCTAGACACACCACGACATTGCAATCTGATCTCAAGAAGTGTATCAGGATTATCATAGCTTAACGACGGTGAAAAATCGAAGTAGCTGCCCGAGTGGCGAAAATGTCATTTAGTTCACCTGAAGCGATGTACGCAGCAAGCGCCGAGGTTGCCGAGAAGATCGTCACCTGCGCAGGAACATAGCCACGCTTGCCTTTGTAGATTCATTAAACTGCACCGCTGAAGAAGCCAAACCAACAGCCAGGTTGACCGGATCGCAACTAGCACTAGCAGACTGAATTCAGCCTGATTCGCGGAAGAATCCCTCCTGCTTGGACGCCATATTGGAAACTAGCTCGTCAGCTAGTTGCAGCTAGTTACTCAACTGCTCTGCCTCAGAGTTGACAAGATCCTCGATGTGCAACGTGTCGATGATGGGCTTCATTGAGGGGTCCAAGGGACCTCTGGGCCTGCAGGGCTTCGCGAGCGTCACAGGCTGCGGGCTTAGTCTGAAAGGCTATGAGGCTATGAGGCTCTGGAGATCCACAGCTCTTGTCTCAAGTGACTCAAAGCCGGGCAGCTGAAGTAGAAGGTTCGAGTCGAGATAGAGGATCATCACCGGCATGGCGAGCCCCATTCCAAAAAGGATCAGAAACCTGACGTCTGACAGAGGATTTCCCTCGATTGCAACTTAGAACACTCAGGGCGTGGGACAAGATGGTAAGCGCCGCAGTCACCAGTTGAATGTTTTCCTGAGTCGACGGGCCACGTTTACCAACACTGGTTTCCGTAGTCATGGCCGGAGCAACTGGCATCCAGGCTGGGCGCGCAAAGAGGTCTTACTCGCCTCCACTCTGCCCAAGCGGCCGTGCCGAACCAGCGCGCGACCATCGGGCGCGCAATCTCCTCGCTCACCTCATCCGACGTTTCCGGCACCTGGTCGGCGTGCACACAACATTATTTTGGCTGCCCTGAAAATCACACCCTCCAGAGTTCCAGAGTGAAGATCAGATATGTTTAGAGCCCAGCTGCCTGTATCATGAGCGTTGAGAAGGTGGAGAAGACGCAGAAGATGCTGAAGCAAGCAAAGCCTTGGAAATTCGGATCCGGATTCGGCAGCGGGAGGCCAGGCTGGCCTACGAACGTCTCGCATCCTCGGCCAGGACACCGATGCCCAGGCGTGCGGGGGCGACGACGATGCCACCCGAGCCGTCGAGGTGCCGAAAGAGATACCTCTTTGCACGATCACAGAAAGGTTCAACCTTCTCCTACGTTCTCCTCTGCACCTGTCGCCTATTTGCAAGGTGAACCTGGGTAGCAAGTATGGTTTAACCTGCCTGTGTCGCTTCAGCCATCCTCATGCCATTGGGTGTTTCGTGTTACATCTCAGCGACAAAGTCTTCTCGCAAGAAAGCTTCCTCCATGATTACTGATTGGTCGTTCCTTCCGTTCAAGTTCAGCATGCTTTTTTGCCTCCCGCCTGGCTAGGACGAACCTACGAAGCAGGGTCCGCATGCTTGATGCTCCGGATGCTCTTGTAGCTACGTGGGCACAGGGGGTAAAAGCAAGGCGCACTAGAGCTTTCTAAGACGTGCCCCTTCGAAGGAGAACTGCACCGCATTGCATCGACTTGAGCTAGCCAGTTAGCTTATGCACAGGATAAACAGCCTGCCTGCACGTTTAGTTCAAGACGGGCAGCAGTAGGAGGATGTATGCGAACATGTCTGGGCAAGCCCATTTGCTGATGAACTGCACGACCTGCACTGACAGTCGTTCAGACACGATGCAATAAAACAACATGTGCATACTGTACTGCAGCCTTTTGGACAAGTCCGCTGAAATTCCGTTCGGATTCCAATGCTGGGCCTGAATAAAGCGCTTGGATTTTTGTACTTGTCGTGGGTCCTGCCAAGCGGATCCAGGTAGCATGCCATCCTCACTTGCTGGTCACTCCGGGCCCCAGTGCAACTGCAACGTCACAAGCTAGATGTATCTGTCAGATTTTCTCCCAGTCCTCACTGTCCCGCCACATCTCTGCCACAATCAGAGCGACGAGCTTGACGGAAGGAATGACCATAGCGTAAATGACCACCCTCAAAAGTTGCGAGGTGCTGAAGAACCTTTCAAACCACCCACTGAACTGACGCGCTTCGTCTCCATCGGGCGAGGCGCAGAACCGCGCCCACGTAGCCGCCGGTTTGGCACAGCAGATGCACCAAACCGAAGGTGGACTCGGCGATCGGGCCTGGTTCCCCGTCCACCTCCACAGCTTCCATGCGAGAAACCCTCTCAGGAAAACACAGCGAGGTTAAAGCATGTTAAAGCAGCCTCTGTCAGCAAGACATTGATGCCCAGCATTTGCACACCCAGCAGGAACTCGAAGAGGTTTGAGACCAAGCCTGGTGCTGTCATGTGAAACAGCTTCTGCAGGTTTCTCAGGTTGCCTGATGCACTGTCACTTGGAGGATCACATCGCGAGTTAGTCGGCCTCAATTGCAGGGAGGCTGCCACGTGACAGATGTTCATGTGATTGATCCGAGGCAGTTCGTTCAGAAAACAGAACCGGGACCAAATGAGCTGAACATGCTCACGATGTGTTTGGCGACGATGAGTCGTGGATCTTTGATGCAAAGGCGCTGTCTGTGCTTAAGAAGCCGCCACGATGTCAGAATCACACATGTAGAAGAATACTCCCTGCCACAAAGCCATCTCGCCAAACTCCCTCTGCCCCCGAAGAGCCCTAGTTCAGCTCAGCCGGCGCTCCTGGGACAAGGATGGCATAGCTGCTCAACAGCATCGCCATACAAGTATAGGACGGCCGCGTGAGCACTTTCTTCGCTGGGAACAGCCTTGCTTTTGCAAGGGCGGAAAAATGTTGCCGGCATTCTGCCGTTTGGCAGGTACGTAGGGTATACCGTCGGGTGCCACGTGCATACTTGTGGCATTCTGTCAAGTGGCACATCGGCCGCGTAACCCATGCCGAGGACTGCTAGCAACGCCCCGACGCACGTAACCACCTCGACTTGCACTTTTGCAAACAGGAAGCCTAAATGCCTGGGGCAGAGCTTGCCTGAATGTTGATCTGCCGGATGCTGGGGGGTGGAAGTTCGAACTTGTCCACTGCTCGATCACCTGTCCGCAGCCGAAAGCAACGTGAAACCCTGCAAGTTTGGGAGGCCATCTGCAGTTGAAAACCTGGCAGCTACAACGACTCAAACAGAGGATGTTCTTTCCAGTCAGACCCTCTGCTCAAGCGCATGGCTGGCCTAGCAGGGCCTTGGCCGCTGAGTCGGTGACAGAGCCCACCTTAAGACAAGAGGCACCGTGAACGCAGCGCCACGGCGCAGCTCCCGGTTGCATGCAAGACACTACATCGTGTGCTGCAGAGGAGATCGCCTCTCCCGCAGACTGCAGAGCATCTGACAAACCTCCCCATGCTTCCTCAAGGGATGACTTCATTCAGTACAGCGTCAAAGCATCTCTTGGTGACATTAGTACTATATGGCTGAGCACTTGCAAAGCTCCTGGTGCGCAAGTCGCTGGTGCGTGATGTGCGTCAGACTTCTCGCGCTGAAGGAATGCACGGCTCTCGAGGATGTCCACAGAAAAATGAGGAAAGTGTACGCTACCGAAGGCCTCATTGAGGCGAAACTGACACTCTAGGTGGGTGTTCCAGCCTTTGAGCCACAAAGCCAAGCGCGCAGCCAACATCAGAGTGCCTGGTAAGCCGTCAACAACACAAACGGAACGAAACCTGCTCATTTTGCACTGCCGGTCCTTGGTGAACGCACCCCGCAAATTTCTAACAACTATGACGAGGTTCTTCCTTCGGGATCGTAGAAGACGACGCCTGCAGGGTTTGCAGCCACGACCATTGCCAGAGACACGAAGTCTTCTTAGCCTTGTCTCGTCTGGTCTATCTGAGCATAACTGGACGGCATCTAAAACCCTGCCCGAGCCACCAAGCTCTCACCCAAGCCTTGTTCCACAGCTGCCTGCAGCCAGGGAGGTGGCGCACAGGCATCCTCGAAAGACACCTGCAGAAGACTATGGAGGCAACCATGGAGGTAATCATGAACCAAATCTGAACCAACCCTCAGTCACGCCAAACTGAAGCAGCCGGCAGCATGATTCCGCGGAGGCTGCGCGCCAGCTTCAGCAAGCTTACTCTCTCTATTTCTCTCCCTCCCTCCCCCCTCTTTCTCTCTCTTGCTTGCTTGCTAAGGGGTGTCGGTCCCCGAGGAGACCCTGGCCCGAAGGCCTACCCCCACAAGGTTCGCGTCTCTCTCTCCCTCCCTCCTTCTCTCTCCTGGGCATGAGGGACGGTCAAGTCCCCCGGCATCATGCCCACCCAACGTGTTGTTGGGCAAATGGGAGTGAGTAGCGAACATAAGTCACCCATGGGCTAATGCCATATAGTGTGCGATAACAGGATAGGATGACCGGACGTTCTCAAAGGACACATGCAATGCATCAACTGTGCTTCTTGCTTTCCACCGATTTGTACAGAATACGTTGCCAAATCCCAGTACAACAAGGCTAGTTTCTCAGGGGTCTGCGCCATACTGTTGCACTGCAGGGCGCCAGCACAAGTTTGCAGCAACACCCATATCAAAGCTAGAACAGTTTAACTAAACCTGTTCTGCTCGATCAATCAAAGCTGCTTCCCCTGAGTTCGGTTATCGAAGGTAGCTATTGGTAGGGCTTTGCGAAAATATTTTACATCCCCGAAAGGAGCAAGCACGGGTGCTCGGGTTGGAGCATCTTCTCCGCGGCAGGGACTTACAGGCACCGTGGAGAGAAGGTCCTGCTCCCTGCGGGTAGGCGGGGACTTACAGGTACCGTTGAACGCTTTGCGGCCACAGTTTGGAGCATTGTGCAACTAGGAATGGGGGTCCCCCGTTTCGATGCAACAGCCGAAGAAAAAATGCGCAAGCAGTTACCAATCAAGCTTCAACAAGCCCGAAGCCCACGACAATTATCGGCTCTTGCTTAACAATTCTAAAATTTGAAAACCATGCTGGTGGTGAACGCCGCCCAGTACGACTTCACGAATCCACCGTTGTCACCACCACCGTGTTCTTCGTCGTCAGGGTTTGTGGCGCCTGTTCCACCAGCCAGCTGCATCTACCATCGCGCTTTGCCTTCTTTTCATCAGAAGGTATCCCGACCCCTGAGCTCTTATGCCCAGCAAAGTTGGAGTACTGAAGGAGAAAATGGGGCAGGTCCGCGATGCTGAGGTGGAGTATCTCACAAACCTCAGGATGGTTGACGGTGCGCTCTCCCCGACCACACCGTGGATGAAGTATCACGTTCTCTGCGGCGTGCTTGATGGCTCCACACCTCTACGGCGACTAGTGACTCGCGGATTACTTTTGGAAGTAGTCAAGGTTCCGGAGGTCCGGTCACAGCTGACCCCCTTCCCCCGAACTACCACCTCGAGCTGCGAAGTTCAAGTCGTCCACCTCCACGCTGTAGGCACCTTGACCCTTGAGCCAAAATGGCTACTCTGTCTCTCTTTTTCTCTCTCTCTCTCTCTCTCTCTCTCTCTCTCTCTCTACAGGGCGTGAGGAAGAAGCAGCGTCCCGGCTGCCCCCGTGCGCGAGCGCACCCCGGCTGGTTCATTGGCGAGGTGTCCTCCCCCCACGAAAATTTTCCTCCGGAGCTCAGCTGTAGGAAAAGGGAAAGGCCCGAACACTAGAACAGCAACACCACTCCGGCCTCATCTCCGCGCCCCTATAGCTCACATGCCGAGTTGGTGCCACCCCAGTTTGTGTAGAGGTCAGGACACAATACAGTTGTGTTGGCCACCCCAAGTGGCTCCCCATTTTTATGTGGACACAAGTAACAGCTAGCACTTGCAGGCAACAGGAAACAACAGCCTTGCCTTATCATCCTTTGCTGGGGTGCTTGTTCCCACAAGGCGTCATCCCCCATGGCTTTCTTGAACACTTGCCTGGCTTGTGCGAGGCGGGCTGCTACCTTCCAAAAAAACTTCCCCACGTAGACGTAGATTCGCAGTTCTGCTTCTACGCGGGGATTGTACCTCCCCACCATTGCCACCAGCTTGTCTGCTCTTCTGGCTGTGTCACGTCTTTCGTTGTGCCGCCGGATATAATGCTTGTAGTCCTCGGTGTCCTCCTCGTCCAGTGGCTCCCCCGTCTGAAGATCGACGAAGGTCTTAGATCTCCAGTCGTTGCAGTTGGTGCGTAAAGGAGGGCCAGTCCCTGTTCAGTCTCAAAACGGACGTACTCCGACAGGGGTCTGGCTCTCCCCTTGCCTTTGGCATCCCCTCCTGGTTCGGCTTCTTCTCCTGTGTGTTGGCTGCGAGTGGATGCCAGTGCTGCATCTAACCCAAAACAGCAAGCCAAAGTCTGAGAGAACCCGCAACAGCACTTTAGCAGCGGCCTCTAGCCTCTAGCAAAATGTTCATGCAAGAGTCCGCCAGAGTACAATTAAAATCAAAACAAAAGGGCATCATCGAGCAAAGGAGAGCATAGTGAGCCTCCCCCCCCCGGCGAAGGTCACATGTCCTGCCCGTGCTGGTGGCGCTTGCCGTGGGGATCTTGCATGTGCTTGTTCAGGTATCCCTAGTGTCATGTAGTTTGCGGCAGACGGGCCCTTGAAGGCAGGCCTTGCAACCGACCCCCATCGCTCGTAGCTTCTCTGCCAGCTTGCATTGTTCTTCCCAGGAAGTGTTTGTTTCGGCAGGCTTGGAGGTCAGAAGTCTGGGAATCGCTTTCCTTCCCCCTCTTCCACCGCTGGGGCTCTTCGAGGAACTCGCCATAGAAGAAGACGTGGCACAAGTTCCCCTAGACCGCGAGCAAGAAGTACGCTCCTCCCTTACTGGCGGGCCACCCTCCGAGTAGGGACCGCTGTCAGCTTCAAGAGGAAGCTGAGGCGGACCGGGGCCTCTTCAGCAAAGTGGCGACGGGCGTGGGGCTCAAGCACCACTGGGCAAAACGAGAAGGCTCCCCTGGAGGAACAGCTCCAAGTTAACGCCGCGTCTCGCCCCCCGCGCAAGAGAGGCGGCACATGCCCCCTAAGCGCAGGTGTAGTACTTGAGCCAAAATGGCTACTCCATCATCCCCCCTCTCTTGCTTGCTTGCTTGCTTGCTCAGGGGTGTAGGTCCCCAGAGCGAGGGCTCACAATTTGTGGTTCGCGACTGTTGGTCTTCAAGGCCCCTTTTGGGGTTGAGCGATGCCCACGTTCCCCCAAATGTGCCTGTCGACCCCTCGCAACACTGCAACACATGACCTAAGACCATCACCGTGTAAACCCCCAGGCATCACTTGGGTCATCCGTGTCGCTCCAGTTCAAGCTACTTGTGGGGCTCGTGGCTGCTTCAACTGCAAACTCTCACTCCAAACAGTAGCAACGGCTGACTGCTTGCTTGCTTGCTTAGGGGTGTGGGCCTCCGAAGAGACCCTTGCCCGAAGGCCTACCCCCACAACGGTTCGCAGCGGTCTGTCTTCAAGGCCCCTTCCGGGGATGAGCGACACAGCGAACTGCTCTCTCTCTCTCTCTCTCTCGCGCTCTCTCTCTCTCTCTCTCTCTCTCTCTTTCTTTCTTTCTGCTGGGCTTAGGGGTCCCGCAAGACCCTCAGGCCTTAGGCCCGCCCAACCCTCACACTGTTTTAATGAGTGGTTGGCATTGGGGCCTTTCCAGATTAAGGCAGGGAACTACAAAATATGCTCCAGGTTTTCATGCAGCGATCCCCACCTAGAACTCTAAAACCCCCCGCATCCCGGCCTCATCTCCGGGCCCCTATGGCTAACCAATGTCCGCGTACCTAGGTCCTTCTAAGCAGGTTTCGCTGCACTGTGTTTTCTCTCTCTCTCTCTCTCTCTCTCTCTCTCTCTCTCTCTGTCTTGGTGTGACTTTACAGATTTCATCCTCGAAGTTTCCAGCCCAGCGGCTCCAAGAGCATTCGCTGCATCGAGCCATGGGGGCATTGTACTTTGCCGCGTGGGCATGGCCTCCTCCACCAGGGCTGCCAACTCGTCTGCAATTGGTTTAGGAGCTCTCGACTCTACTCGTGGTTCCGGTAGGTGAATGATTTCGAGGGTCTCCGCCCCCCTGAGATGCGCAGCTGATAAGCATCGCCGCCCTCAAAACTCTTCTCCACACATACTGCAGAATCTCCATAGCCGGAACGAGGGGCCAAACTGTACATGGCACCGTCTGAGTGAAATGGAAAGCACTCAAAGTCCGGCATGCCTTCTCAGCCGCCTGCGGCTTGAGTATGTCTAAATGACAGATGCAACCGCCACTGGTGAAAGGCGGAGCTCGAAACTGCTGGTCGAATTGAGGGAAACGATCAGAACCCCTTGTCCACGACAACAGGCCGCGTTATTCGGCAGGCACGACCTCATGACGCGCGAAACGAAGTGCACCTCATAACTTGCCAAAACTCTGTATTCGTGCTGTGGCTGACATATGCGCCTTTTGAGACGTTTCGGCCAGGACATTCTTGTGATTCAAGCGCTGAGACAAGCCACCGGAATCTTCTCCAACTCTCCTGCACGTGAACATCAAAGCACATGCCAGCTAACTCAAACCCCAAGAACTTGCTGCTCAGCTCAGCAGGCAAAAATGGTTTGTGCAGCTTCTACATCGGATACGCAACTGTTCACGCGATTCAAAAATTCCGAACCTTACGAAGTTGTTCAGGTCAAGCGGCCGTTGATGGCAGCCTCGATCCACCAACCACCGAGAAAACGTGTGACCGACTTCTTCAAGCCCTCGCCGGGAAAGAGCAGCTGCACGTGCCCCTGTTTGGCCAGCTCCTCAGAGGCAACATGCCGCCTGACGCATGAAGCGTCAGGAGTGTTGCTGTCAAAGGCAGTTGCTGCAGGCATGGCCCGCAAAGATAAGAATGCGACGTGAAAAGTGTGAGGCGCACGGAGGTGTGAGCTGAGATGAGGGACCAGTGCACGAGCTCGGGGCCATTAAAGCTTAAGGCAGATTAGCCCACACAGCAAGACGCCAGAAAGCAATAACAAACAGACAAACAGCAACGGCCGAATACGAACGACACGGCTAGACCGCCGAAGCTGGCCGCGAGCTCTGAAGCAAAGCTGAGAAAGTGCCGGCACAAAGAACACCGACGCCGAGTACAGGGGACACCATTCAGACAAAAAAACGCGGACGAAGTTGACCGAAAAGAAGAAACGCCATCTTACAAAGCGCTGCCATGAGGAAGTTGCAACCGCAAACCGACCGTGGCCACCGCGGTGAGAAAGCTCCACCATGAAGAGTGACCGTGAGTTGGATACCACCGCTGTGCGAGGAAGTTGATCTTGAGAGAAGTGGGGATATCACTCTGGTAAGGTGGTCCGGTGTACCTCTGCGGTGAGAATATCAGCAAAAGAGAGATTGACCATATCACCGCCGTGACAAACGCCGCCACTAATGTGACCGGTCGGTAATCCATGCCACCGTGGCCCCATACCCCAACTATGACCAACTGGAGAAGCACTCGATGGCGCTCTTATGTGCTCCATGCACTCTGTCCCTGTGCTGCTCCACCCGTGACCCAATCCAGCAAGTCAGCAAAGGGACAACATCGCCGAAGGGTCCAGGTGTGCAAAAACATGAAAACGAGCCAGCCGAGAATGGACACTACCGCAGTACTGGAATGCTGACATAGCCAACATGTTGCCATGCTTGTCCTCGGGAGCTTCCATAACTTGGCAGATCTCTCCTTGGCTGACTTCTGAACCCCTCCTAAAAGTTAAACTTTCAGCCTCCGTAGTCCTCGTTACAGTTCATATAGAAACTCAAAGGTTAAAGTCCTAAGAGCCAACCAGAAGAACGCCAAGTCTCCATACTTCGCTTGGTCCCAGTCGGGCTGGTCAACCACCCGTAGTTTGCCTCAGTACGATCTGCTGGAAACGTTAATGTTTCGACCTTTTTGAAGACCCCCGAATATGCTGATAGCAGGTGAGGGGACAAGGCAGCATCAGCAACCCTGTTGCTGCAGCTCATTACGACAACAGATTCGATCTGCCCAGTCCAGGCCAGTGACTTCCCACACGCAGGTCCAGCTGCAGCTGGGCCGTGGCGGACTTTCGACCATCCCGGCCGTACGGAATGATTGCCTGTTGAAGACGAGAAGGAGCGTACTTACTGTGACGAGTGGGGTGGAGTCCCGCTTGCAGAAGTTGCAGCTGCTGCTCTTGCAGAAGCACCCACACATTTGGGGGAACGTTGTGCCTCCTGACGTCTCTGCGTCAGCACCGCACCGGAGGCCACGTCGAGGTTTAACAAGGAAGCCTGGGCAAACAGAGCTTGCTTCCCAGCTGAAAGTGTGCTTCTGATCTTCTGTGTTCACAGGACCTGTGCGAGACATGGCTTGCAAGCAAGCAGAAAATGTCTTGCAAAGACATTAAACACTTCTCTAAAGAGATTGACCGGCATCATGGGATGCTTTGGAAACTCGCGGCGTCTGCAGAAACAAGCAACTTTAACCACCTTTCAACAGTGAAACCTGACAAGACCTGCTGTGGTATCTCATCACAAGTTGTCTCCGTGTCTTGCTGGATATACCTTGTGGCCTGCCCTATAGAAGGGCCGGTGTGCCCACAGGCGTACACGGCCCGTACAAGCGAGAAACACACGCCAGCGCATGAACTCGTGCAGCTGTGAGTCCAGCTCCCTGAGAACATCGTCAAGCCGAGCAAAGATTCGCAAAGACGAGATCTTGTCGTACCTTAAGTTAGGGGCCATCAGTCGCTAAACTGCTAGTGAAATTCCACATTTTGACCCTTGCCTGTCTAGGACTGCGCCCGCAATCCAGGCCGAACGCGACACTGCACAATCCTCTTGGAAGCTGTGATATGGGGACTAAGCTCATCAAGCACGGCAATCAATCGCAGCAGTGCTGCATCGAACCCCCGTGCTTGATTCCGAGTCACTGTGTCTGCTGCAGTGCCACGATCACAGTTCCCAGTGCCTTCCAGCGTGTTAAGTGCGTGCCGTAACTAACGTCCACGTTAGAAACATAAACTCATGTGGAAACGTTCACTCTAAGGCTGCCGCTGTTGCTTCTCCTGCTGCTGAACCTCCTGCTACTTGCATTCCTACTCCTGCCCCTGCTCCTTGTCATACTTCTTCCACCACTACGACTGCCATCACCACCGCCACCCACCACCACCTCAAAAACTACCCCGAAGAACTACTACCACCACGACGACTACGACTGCTACGATTACTACGACTACTACTTCTGCTGGAACTATTGTTGCTACTTCTTCTTCTAATTCTACTACTGCTTCTGCTCCTACTTCTACTTCTACTCCTACTTCCTTCTACCACCACTACCGCTACCACTAGCAGTAGCAATACTTCTCCGCCTTCTACTACTACGACTACTACCCCTCCTCCTCTCCTCCTGCTGCCACCGCCACCACCAACACGACGACGACGACGACTACTACTACCACTACTACCACTACCACTACCACCACCACTACCACTACCACTGCCACCACCCTGAGGAACCATCACGAATCGAAAGCATGACTCACAGAGGAACGGACTCAACTCTCCGGCTTTCCCTGGTTGCCGAACTCTGTCCGAACATGCAGCCATCTATGCAAATCTGGTGACCACCGCCCAACCACCCCTCATCCGGTCCAGAAAAGAGCCTCGTCTCGGTGCATGCGCTGAGCCCGCTTGGCCGGGGACACAGCCATGCGATCTGCATTCATTCCGACCTGGGAGACGAGGTCATGTCCTAGAGTAAGTTGCACAGCCAAACAGCTGTGAAAACTGGTTTTTGCAGAGTTACGATATGCTTCGGTTAGACTGCAAGCACTGAAAAAAAAACGTGATGGGATGAGCCCGGATAATTTTTGCCGTCTTGTCACACACCAAAGAAACGATAGCCAACAGCTCAGACTAAGTCCTGCCTGCAAAGCCCATGGACAAGACCGCAGGATGTGCATCTGCATCGCCAAGCACCGGCAAGCAGTCCCACACACAAAGCAACGCAAACACTTGGCAGCCTAGGAGCCATGGAAGTCCCAAGCGCCAAACACAGGTCTGCACGACTCTCCCAATCCTGTGGATACACAAACCAACGCGACATTGCTGGCTTCAGACACAAGGGAGCTGGTTAATTCCCTGCAGCGAATTTGGGACACGTTCCACTATCCACGGCATTCTAGGGGCACGCTGCAGGCACACCCTCCAAACTTTCACCACGCACAGGTGTGTACTCTGCCCGTCTAGCAGCCAAGTATCAAGCATCCACTGAATCAGATCAGAACGGAGAGTTCCGTCCATTGGGACGACCTGGGTTTCCAATCAAGCCACGCAAGTGAGGCCCTGCTGAAATGAAGAAGCTTGGTTGGTCTTGGGCATTCGCTGGATTGGAAGGGTCCCACCAAGCACCGTGGATCTCGTTGATGTCCTCACGGCTGAGAATTGCAGGAAGAAGCACTGCTTCGTATGCTGCTCGGCGGATGGAAATGTTGAGCGCTCCTTCTGCGGGAATCCTGCTTTCTGAGGTAGGCCATCATGATTCTGCTGCACCCAATGTTTCAAGCTTCCTCGCAGCTTGTCACGGAAAGTTGTTCTTTGCTTCGATGCATTAGCTGTCCACGAAAACTGAAAACACACAACGTTGACTAAAGTTCTTCCAGAAGGCCATTCTTCCAAAGTGCGACGAGGACATGGTGAGCGTAGCCTTGCTTCTTTGACACGAGCCCATTCAACGCCGCAAACTACGACGAACAAGCTGCAAGCCGTTAGGATGGCAAGTAAATAGGTCTGCCTTCGACTAGTTGGGATCTCAAAGCAAAAGCCATCATTAAGTTGCGAAAGCCAGACATCTCTAAAGAAGTAGTGCTCAAATGGTCTGCAACAAGCAACTCGGTTCCGCCAACCATGGCGACTTCGCAGAAGAAGATGAAGACGAGGAGCTTGCCTGCTACAGACATCCAAGCATTGCATCACAAAACCGGGAATTGACACGTGGAGTGATGCCATGTGATGCCTTCGTTGCATAGTCTTTGATGCCAGAGGCCGTGCTGATGCCTGAGCGCAAAGAAACTCGTTCCACACATCGAGGACAGAGGCACATCCACGGCTCGTACAGCCACGGCACCAGCGCCAGTGTAAGCAACACAGTTTCGGCTTCGTGTTATGAGGTCGGCCAGCAGTTTCCTCGGTTGCCAGTCGGTGCGGTGGCGAAGGCTGAAAGACGGTACTTGTAGCAGCCCAAGCCGCACTTTTGCCTTCAGAACTTCGGGTTCATCCAGATACTCGTGCGCCTGTTTTGCTGCCACGTCCTCTCTGCATGGCTGCTGCGCCCCACGCTGCCTTCATGGTCTTGTATCCTGGTCGGGCTTCCTGATGCGAAGATGAAACATCTGGCCAGGGCTTTTCACAAGAGCAAGCAGCGGTGCCTCATTGCAGGCACTTGCCAGTCGCGGCAAGGGCCAGTTCGGATCGCCCAAGAAGCCGTGAGCTGACTGGCGGCACGATGCGGCTGGCCGACAAACTCTCGGCTACAATCAAATCGCGCCTGTGGGTCCGCATCCAAGATGCTGCCAACCTCGGGCTCTGGCTCCTGGAGGCGGCAAAATTGCCCCTCTCAGGCTTCTACCACAGTCTGACGTTGGGCGTGGCTCTCAAGCTTCCATACCATACCTTTTCAGCAGGAGCGGCCGTCGGAACACGAAGCACTGAACAAAAAAGAAGCAAGGCAACCAACATCCGCAGTTTCTGCCCCCACACGTCAGTGCCCTTCACCCACAACAGTGCAAGCAGCAGCCGAAGCCCTTCATAAGCCAGACCAGTTAACAAAGAGCACTCACGAGCCCGAAGCACCCACGACACGGTGGCGGGAGCACGAGCCGCACGCCCAACTGTGTGCTAGAAGGACAAATAAAGCCACTTTACAACGAATGGAGGACCCCTTCGTATCTGAAGGTCTCCTCCTCGTCTTCGCCACCGAATTTCAATCGCTGCATTCGGGCGACCAGTGGGCCAAGCACCTCCAGCGACGAAGCGCTGTAGAGATGGCAAAATGCTTGGGGAAATGTGCCAAAGCATCCCCTTGCTTTTTTAGTAGTGTTGTTCGGATGTGCACTCACTTATAAGTACTGCAGCAGGCATGTATGTGGGGTTTTCGTGGCCATCCACAAAGATGCATGGGTGTGCAACAACCCTGTCTCTCCCAGATCAATCGGCATCCCTGGCCCTTTGCCAGGCATCGTGGATAGATTACTCGCGGCTGGGGTCAACGCCCCGCGATTGCGGTTCGATCACGTACAAGGCATCGGTGATGAATCAACTGTCTATTCAACTTACTTTACTTTCTCTAGAATCGCTATCGTCATCATTGCATAATTGCAAAAACCTGTTTTGAGCTACGACTTTAGTCAAACTCTCCCTGCGGGACTGTGGACTCGCTAAAGGCACTAGTTGTTTTGCATCCTACCGCTCCATGCTATGTTGGTTTGTCATGTGTCTCGGGGGACCGTTCAGACACGTGTGCAACGTTTTTTCAGCATGCGCTTGGATCCTGAAAACAAACACTTTTTCGGAACCCAGGCTCTATGAAAACAAACACTGAAACTAAGACCAAGTCGCTTGTAAGCCCGAAACCCTAAACTGCGTCTGGGTGGTTGACGACTCACGCACCTCTGCGAAGTAAATCTGTGTTGCGCTGTGTGTTTGCGTTGGGTTGCACTGTGAATAAAACAGAGTGCTGCGGTCTTGTTCATCCTATTCTGGCTCACAGTGGAAGAAGTTTCGTCTAGTGGTGATACTCTCTATCTTTGAACCTCACCCCGGGCTTATGAGCACCACAGTATTTGGTTCTCGTCTGGGGAATGAAACAACACAGCGAATGCAGGCACATGTGTGACTTGGAATCCTGGTCCTGGTCTTGTCGCGGGCCGCTTTAAGTCTTGTCCTGGGGCTACGATTGCATTCATGGAAAAAGTGCCTGGGAAGTGCAGCCAGGCGGTTGCTTGCAGATCACAAGTGATGCATAGCCGCATGCTGCATGCTCTCTTCTGGGTTACTCTGTGTATACAGTTCTTGACTTGACGTGCCAGGGGGTTTGCGTGTTTATGAACGCAGCCCTCCATCATTTTGCACCAGGCATCAACAGGATCGTGATCAGCCGTGCCAACGGGATGTGTCTGTTCTGGCGGCGGTTCACAAAATTGCCACATGCACGCTACTGCTCATCGTGCCGATGATCACGTCTTATTTCTGAGAGCGTTCTTCTCATAACTGCTTCTGCTGCCTAAAGCATCTTGTGCTTCGCTACCCGCCCGACACTAAAAACGCGTAAACAGCCCTTGAAAAGGCTGGCTGAGAGTCGCTGGGCCTAGTTTAGGCTTACGGTGCTCTGGGTCTATGGCAAGCATAGGGTCCGTCTGGACTACTGAGCTCTCGCGGCCTCGTGGTCAACGTATGACTCACATTCATAGCACCACACACTGAGGTCCATCAAGCCCAGCGCCAGGAAATGACCTGAAACTCAAGGCCCACGACATGTTCGCTTCTCAAGGAAGGAGTTGAGGATGTTGCATGTCCGCCCACCCGTACCTTTCTCTACAATTACCGTTCCCACTGACCTTGCTTTGGAGCTTGGCCTCGTCAGGCGACTGCACTGTACATCTCCAGAAGCATCGAAAAGCCTCCGGACGACTTTACAAAGGGCAAGACCTATGTCATGAACCTCTTCGTGCACTTGTGGCACATGCGGTAGCAGATATGCCAGGGCCACCCTCGGCCGCGGTTGCGCCTTCTGCCGCTTCAAATCAGCCTCGGCGGAAGCTCAGGATCTGAGATGTTTGAGCGCTTGAACTTCATGACAAAGAGATCTTCACCACCACTGAAGTTGCCGTTGTCAAGCTGCCCTTGCGTCGAGCCTGCTAAGAAGACGTCTCCGGCTGGATTTACTCGGAGCGCACGTGCATAATCCCAAAGTGGAGTTCCCCTCTGCTCAGTCCACTGCCAAGAACCAGAGAGGTCGAACATCATCACGAACACATCCGAGCTACCGGCATTGATGTGGCCATCCATTGAGCCTCCGGTATATCCTGCAACGAGAATGTTGTCCCAGTAATCGACTTCTAATGCCCAGGCAACGTCAAACTTCTCGGTACCACGCTGGCGGCTCCACTGCCAAGCGCCGTCGCTGGAGAACTTCATCAGGAAGATGTCCGAGCTTCCCGCACTCTCTCCATGAAGAGCACCTGATGTCTCACCCGTCAGAAAAATATTTCCTGCTGCATCTGTACCGAGATCCCAGGCATCATCATCTGCCACACAACCTCGCTGACGAGTCCATTGCCAAACTCCGTCTGCAGCGAATTTGGCGAGGAAGACATCTTTGCCTCCTGCGTTCTCATTGCCATCCAAATCGCCTCTCGTGTATCCCGCTACCAGTACGTTCCCTCGGGCATCCAGCTGCAGAGCACGGGCATAATCCCAGAAGGTGCTTCCACGCTGCCGCGTCCATAGCCAGGATCCACTGGGATCAAGCTTCATGACGAAGAAATCATACCCTCCAGCGTTGCGGTTGCCATCCAGCGAGCCCCCCGTGTACCCGGCCAGGTAGATATGACCGGAACGATCCAGCTGAAGTGCGCGGCCGTAATCCCAGTCATTGCTACCACGCTGGCGTGTCCAGAGCCAAGACCCATCCTTGCTGTATTTGGAGACGAATAGGTCGGAACCACCGTGATGGACATTGCCATCCAATGAGCTCATTGTGTAGCCAGCAACAAAAATGCTTCCCAAAGGATCGATTTGGAGGGATCTTGCATTGTCTGATTTTTTGCTACCCCGCTGACTTGTCCATTGCCAAGTGCCAGAACGGTTGAACTTCATCAGGAAAACATCATTTGCACCAAAGTGCGTGGTATTGCTGAATGACCCACTAACATCTCCAGCCACTACGATGTCACCTTCAGTATCCAGTTGCAAGGCCGTGGCATAGTCCCATTCACTCGTCCCACGCTGGCTGGTCCACTCCCAAGTCAAATCGGCGCCCAACCTCCAGAGCTGAGCAAAAAGCATCAGAAGCCACAACTCGGACATGGCTATGGCTACGCGACGACGCACGTGTCTACAGGCTGGCTGTAGCAACTCAGGCAACTTACAGCTCTGCTGGAGCCACAATCTCTGACGGCCTGAGGAGTTGGTGGACTCGCGACTCGCGACATGCCAAAACCTCTTCACCATCTCGGAAAGTTGCAGCTCATGTTGACCCCGCCCTGCCTCGGCGACAGACTCCGGCTGCTGCCTCTCCTGACATCTTTGAACGTCTGACCGAGCTTTCAAGGTCACGACGAGATGACGATGACTTGAGTCCATGAGTCACCTGCTCGATGTCCCCCCGAGCCTACGGTGAGAGCTCGTGAATCAGCCTCACGCGTCTCTTGCCAGTGATGCAATGCCTCGGCCATCAGGTTCCGCGAAAATACACCTCCAGATTTTGTTTTGCTACGCAGTCTGAAGTCGCAGTCGGGCCACGTGCTTGTTAACATATCGCCCGCAATGGGTGACTCCGCACATCAGGCACACCCAGTTCCTTACGCTTCGTCAGCTTGCGAGGCCTTCTTGGAGCGATCTGAATGTCGCATGAGTCCTTTACGCCTTAACCACTTGATGCCAAGCTTCTCGGAGCCTTTGCATCCTTTGGCACACGGGTTACCGAACTGGAGAGCTGCCTGCGCACCGGTCCACTCCGTTCATGCTCTACAGTACGCTCTGAGACTGGAAGCTCCGGAGCTCAAAGCTGAAAGCCCCAGTTCGATCAGGATGGAAATGCCGTACTGCCTTCTTCACGATAGTGCCCAGGGGCAGCTCGCAGATGTGAGGACAGTGCTTGAATTCCACAGCGCCGCCTTTGTCCTCCTCTCCTGCGTGTATTGTAGATGCTCACAGGAATCTCTTGATAGCTTGAGTCACATTGAGACGCTGAGAAAGACCGAGACGAGTAATGGTCACCCCGACACTTGAGCTGCTACAGTCGGCTACAGATCCTTTCATGCTAGAAGCTTCGCCTGTCATGTGCCATGCCATACTTAAATCGCCCAAGCCACCGTGATCCAACAACCAGTTGATGGCCAGCTGTACATCTGAGACGTCCCCGATGTTTTCAACAGCCTGCCGAATCCGCAGCAACAAGACACTGAACCTGCAGAAGAAAAGCTTGTAGTCAGCCCAGAAGTACACGAGACTCGCACTCAAAGATTGGAAGTTTGATCCGGAACTGTTTCTTGCCCCGTGTTTCGAGATTGAGAATAGCCGAAGCTGCTGGAGCCCAAGTAGCCAACTCAGAACCTGCTCGATTGACTCTTGCGCAATACCGTGTCCACCGATAATATTAAATCATCACTTGTGCTCTATGAACGATCACTGAAGAGATCAGGAATTTCTGTTTCAGCTTGCGAAAGCCTGTGATATCGCTGCATCTGAGCCCACGGCCTCACGTGCGCGATCCTCTGAGAAGCCAAAGTTGACCAGCTCCCTCACGGTGGCCTCTGCCATCGCTGGACCTTGCTCCGACCCAAGGCTTGGGCAGGGCTTGGGGAATCAGAATCCCACAGGTGAAACGCTGGACGACGGGTCGACGGTCGAATCATGCGGACAGTACTTGCTCCAAAGACAACGCCTCAACACTTCAGCTGCGGCCGGGCAGCACTGCGAATTGAGCTGCAATGGCAGATTCTCTCAGCCACCGTTTCTCAAAACACGTTCCAGGCATAAATTGAGACCGTGCATACCGACGGAATATGCAAACAGAGCCGTATACAAAAATCGCGACTAGGGAACTACTTTGAATGTGCAGCACACGCGCAACACACTGGACGCTGACTCGGACAGTCTGGGAGAAACATTCCAAGCGCAAAACCATTGTCGGGAGACATGTGTTTTATCCAGTTCCTTTGCGCAGCTGCACATAATCTGAAGCGGGTGCTTTGCGCTTCAGCCTCTTCCGGGTGGGCGTCCACGTCGAGAAGCCCTGCACACTCACCCGCTCCCACAGCCAGCAGAAACTCAAACTCAGTCTATAGACAAACCGTCGTGGTTCAAGGCCGTCCCTCTGGCTTTCTATACCGGATGGGCTATATCAACTGTGCCTTTTAAACCTTTTAGTCCAGCGAGCGTGGAACGGCCACTCACGCCTCAGTTTATCATCTAGCGGGGGACCCCAAGAAAAAGTGTGCACGCCTCTTCACGGAGGTCGGCTTGCAACTCTTCAGGCAGGTCTGGGTAGAACTCTGCCAAGCCACTTGCAGGGCTACTGGATGCAGGAGACGCATCCGAAGGCTGCTGCGACAATGCTGGAGGCATCAATTCGTTTGCAGATGCTACAGCAGGTGCCGCGTCAACGGCAGAGTCTTTGTCGTCATGCACTTCCAAGGATGCGTGAAAGTGCTCTTTCTGGATAAGTTGTGTAGCATTGCTCACCTCCGGGCTGCCCACCATCGTTTCATGTTCTTCTGCTTGGTGTATCGGTGCACCGGAATCTGGCTGAGTGAAAGAGGCCGGCACCGCCACCGGCACGCAGTTCACGGTCATGGGAATAATTGTGGCCGTGGTAACCCTTCGCCCCGAGGGTCCAGACTTGGCCTTGCCCTTACCTCGCCCTTTCCCGTTCGGGGAGAGCGATATTGCTGAGCCGCCTGGTGAAAAATCTGATCTTTCCCCTGTCATGTGTAGGTGAGGCGAGGACATGTCTGGTATGTCCTCACCAGGACCCGCCGCAGCATGCGATCTGCCGTCCAACGGTGGCGGAATGGACAAGTCTTTCCGGAGCTGTGCGGGAAACGTCGCAGTGTCCCCATCGGAAGGCGGCCGCCGGCCGGTTCCTGCTGCGACGGCAGAACTGCACAAGTATGCTACAGCTGCCGAATGAAACACAGAAGCCTGAGTCAGGCGCAGCGCGCTGCCGCGCCTGTCAGGGGTCATGGCCATTGCGCAGTCAGTCCTCGCTCACAGCCCGAGGCCTCATCCCACAACTCGTCAGAGTTCAACGCATGCTGCGCTGCACCTGGGAAAAACAACACGACATGGCCAGTGCTGTTTCGCACGAGTTCAACGTGATCAGGACCCAGCCTCGCCAGAAGGAGAGCTCAGGTTCCTCCTCTACGATGACCTGAACGGTTTAAGAAACTCAACAGCAACTTCTCAAGCAACTGGAGACATCGACAGCAACCTATTCAGTGTGAGGAGTCCTGCAAAGGACACTTTAAGTCCGAAGGCAGGCATGAAAACAGACCAAACGGGGGTGACATATTTTGGTGTTTGTGCTCTGTGTGCGGTTTGGTCAGGCATATGGCTGCAGCTGCAAGCGAGGTTGTCTTCGCAGCGACGCCTCCGCTTGACATGGATAAGATAGCTCTCGCATGGGCAGCTGCATAAACGACTAAGATGTTCATCATCTTCGCAGGACAGAAGAGCTGCAAGCGATTCCGTGACGAAAATGATCTGCCCTCGTTTTTGTTTACATCCCGCAACCTCCACAGGCCAGTGGCTTGGGAGAAGCTGGCGAAGGTCAAGCCTGTCCAACGCGGACGAACGGACTTTGATTCCCAGGTCCTCGTATCAGAAACCCCGGCTAATGACTTGCCCACACTGCCTGAGCCTCGATGCCAGGCCAGGGAGGCGTGCCAGACCGCCGCAGAGCACCACTCGGCCAAAATGGGGTCGCCAAGTCTCCTCACAAGGACATGCTCATGCCAGTGACAGATTTGCCAATCCTGCCTCCGGAACTGCCAAGATCGCAGCATAGACCAACCTTCGTTCTGGGCAACAGGATGGAATACGTTGGCCTTCACTGGGTCAGCAGCTGCTTCGGCGAGAATGTCGAATGGGCAGCATTCAATCCAAGCAGCTCCGGCAAACCACACAGCGGCAAGCCGTGGTCCTGAAGAGACAGCATCTGCTTGGCATGTCTCCACCCTCTGCCAGTGAGGATCTGCTAGCTCGAACTATGGAATCCCAAACCGTGACCTTTCTCCAGACTGCACACAGGACGTGGAAGCTTCGACGTGATCGATACGTGCCTGTACCCATAGCAACTTACGAGGACATCCCTGTGCTGGTAACAGCGGGTCCTGGGGCCGGAAAAGGGCCTCGGGAATTACCACCCGTTCAGCCGTCAAGGTCACGTGCTGCCGCCCCGAGTTGGCATCCTCTCCCACACGAGCCGAGGGCCGCCGGTTTGCGCTTTCCAAGACGGGGATCATGTCACTTCCTATGTGAATAGTAGTTAAGGCAGCTAAGAATTCCACACGGCACAAAAAGAGCCCCGACCATTCGCGGCGGGCAGTGATAGAAGATGTTGACTGAAAAGAGAGCAACAACCAGCGCACATGCCGAAACCCCTCTCAGGAAAGGTGTCCTGCGGACAAGCAGAAGGCTCTTCTTGGACATATCCTGCCATGTCTTCCTCGCCAGGTGAAAATGTTGGACTGGGCAAAAACACTCTTCTGATAGCAAGGAGTCAAGGAGCCGGGAAATGATGTAAAGGAGCTTTCTTGTGCTTTCGGTATTTTTTCAATGCGTAGAGCAGTAGATGCAGCCGAATACCTATCAAAATCAGAATGCCCGCGTTCGGTCTCTCAGTGCCGGAACACGATCAAATGCAGTGACCCCTCACAGCCGGCAGAAGTCTGAGTACTTTTGCAAGTGCGTGCTTGTGAGGAGCGGCCTGTCCAACCTTGAGTTCACACGCTGAGGCTTAAAATCGCAAAACCAAAGGCAGAGACACGAGCCAACAACGACCAATCACAGCCCTCTTTGCCTCAAAATCCGGAAGGACGTAGGTCAGCGGGGCCACACCAGAAAAGTTCTTTGTCAGAGCTGCACCAAGGTTCCGCAGCACCTCGCCCGTCCTCGAAAGTTCGACAGTGAGTGCATGGAAGAGCCATCGCATGAAATGAGCACACCATAAGACCTGGTGAGAACGCTTGGCAAAATGAAGAGGTTCCCCTTGAGGCCGGCCCGGAAGTCCTTTTCAAGATGTCTTCCACAAGCAGCCAGGACTCCGAGAGGTTGAAGTGTTGGAGCTTCCTTTCGCAATGGGGGCTCGAGCACTGCAACGTGTGCTGGGGAGCACTTGCTGCAGAAGAGAACTAGTCCCTCATGATCCGCCAGGAAACTGCGACTGAAACCCGACTGCACATAGTGCACGGCGGCCAACTACCAGCGAAAACCATAATTATTATCACAATTATAATAACAATAATCATAATCATCATCATGGTCATGATGACGAGCAGCTGCAGCAGTCGCAGCAATGAGAACAACAGCAGTAGTGGTATGTCACAAGTTGACGCCTCTCAAAACCTCCTGACACAAGTTCTCCGTCTGCAATCGCCGAAAAGTGACGACTTTAGGTGAGGAACCGCTCGTCGGTATGTCACTTTCGCGTACGGCTTTTTGCTCCGGAAAGAAATTGGCAAAGGCGATGACCCGGCTTCGTGCGGTACGGGCTCGCATCATGCTTCAACGGCACGGCAAGATCGCCTGGCGCTGACCATCGGAATCCCCGAGGCAGCGCGGGATTCGATGCAACTGCCCTTTTCTTAGGGGGGTTTTCAACCGAGCCATAGTGCACCCTCAAGAGGTACCGCAGGAGAGTGGGCAACACCCGAAGGGGCGTCTATGGCTATCCCATGCTATGCCAGAAGGAAGAACATTCTCAGTGCATGCTGCCACTCACGGTGAACAGAGAGCAACTGAGGCCGTGGCAGTCGCTCCAGCAGCAGATTCGTCAGGACTCGTCCTCGTCCGGCCAAGCTTGAACCATTAGTCTGCATGCGGCCCTAGTCGCACCTTCTATGTGTCGAATGCAGTTGGCTTCGTCAAGCCTTGCAAACTCACAGGCCTCCGACATTCAGTCGGCGCCCAGCCGATTCGATTGCCAATCCTTCAATCGAAGGCTGGGCGAAGCAGCTGGAAAAGCCCAGATTCAAGACGGTGCAACCTTGGACGAGGACAGGCAACCAGCAGACAGCATCTCTCATGCGCGTGTCCGAATGGCCTGGCGAGGAGCCTGGTTTCCTGATCACGAAAGGGGAGGGTTCACTGGTCAGATCGCTTAGAGTGATGGCTCGATGGTCGCGCAGGCTCGTCAAGTTGGATTTTGTCAGGGAATCCTGTTCTCAGTTTTGGTCGAGTCGAGATCGCATCTCCATGCACACTGCGAGTCTGCACGAGGCTCTCAGCTAATGCGACGGAAGACTTGAGGCTCCCTTGTTGTCCTCGGCCTCGGTCTACTTTCGCGACGTCTCGCCCCCTTCAAAGCCATGCAAACCTCCGTGGCCCTGTACTCATGATGGCCTGGCAAAGCCTCGCAAGCACTTCTGAAGTCTGCGCTTCCACTTGACTGACTTACCTGTCCCGCGACACGGCGAGGGATTCTGCTGTAGCAGCGCAACGAGGCCTGTCAAAGGCAAGAGGCAAGTTCTGGCTGCCGTGCCGAGTTGAAAAAGTGTTGTCGTGAAGAAAGCCACGCGCCTGGACTTTGCAGCGCCACCGACCCTGACTCGATTGCCGCAGCCTGGGCAAATCCTGGGAAGAGACGGCGCGCTCACGGTAGATGCAGCTTTCACCTTCCGAAGTAGCCATGCCCTAAACGTCTTGCCGGAAACTTACTGACAATTGCAGGCTCGGTAGCCCATGTGCTCCACCAGCATCCTTAGGTTAGTTCGAAGGAGTGGTATGCACGAGCGACCAAAGCGAACAAGACCACGCAGGATGTTCAAGCTTGTAAATGACTGGGTGTCCGCAGCACATCGTCCTTGATAAAAGCTGGTGTCAGCGGCGGCAAGATAACAACCACCTCCAGAACTTGCAAGACAGAAACAAACACTGCTCCTGAATTTCGCAACATGCGCCATGTCAGCCGCCCTGCTTTTTCCTGCAGCCGAGAACGTCCACGAAGCAGCCTGTGCAGCTGTGTGACACCTGGCTCTAAAAAGCTCCGGCACGTTCTCAGGTGCACTCCGCTCTCTCGCCTACGCCGACATCGCCCTCCAGGACTCCCAGTGAGGGTTGTTCTGCTTGGACAGCTGCTTAAGCTTGTCCTTCACCGTCACTGTGCTGCCGGCAGGCTTGGCACGCTCCCAAGCCTCCTCCAAGCCCTTCTCCTGAGCGGATACACTCTCACGTCTTGATGCATCTAGACCGCCCAACTACTTCGACCATGTTCTGTGCAGCTCACGGAAGAACCGGCCATCTACCGCTTACTGTCATTACATCGACCACTAAAAAAACAAGCGGTATCCCAATCAGCTCGTGTGTCGTAGTCATCAGGGTTGATGAGGCCATCAAGGGGATCCTTGGAATTGGCGAAGAGGGGATGCTCCCTCCAAGCCTCGTCGAGCTCCCTGGCGCGCTTGGTTCCTGGGACAATGCGCCAGAAGGCATCCTCCTGGAAGGAGTACAACACGAACATGCCCATCGCCACTGCAGGGAAGACAAGGGTTGTCAAAGGCACCAGCACTGCCGCAAACTTGCGCTGATCTCCGTACTTGGCCTCGGCATCCTGTGCCAGCATGGTCAGTGCAGGCAAGGCCGCGGAGGCAGCAACCGCAGGATTGAAGTCGGACTTGGCCCTGGGAGACTCAGAAGGGCTCGGCACAAAGCAGCAACGCAGCGCGAAGAGCAGCGCAGCTGCTGCAAGAAGCAGGCGTCCCGGGCGAGCCATGGCAACCACTGCAACAGAGGCTTGGAACAGGTTCAAAAAGCTGGCTCTAGAGCCTCGTGCCGCGGGAAGAAGCGATCCTGAATGCATGAACAACACTTGAATTAACCGCACCTAGAACGACACCAAGATGCAGAGCATCTTGGCGGTTTGGAAGACCACCACAACGATCGAGAATCGAAGCACCGGCAAGGAATAGATCGATTAGAGCATTACGAACGAATCCCAGAGGTCGAGTATGGAATATTGCGACCACACGAGGACGAGGACCTTCGACCGTTTGACTGTGCACAGGACGGTGGCGAGAACACCGCGGCACGGTGGGAACCGCAGAACCGACAAGTCAAAGCACCGCGTGTTCCTCACATTGCCGAAAGAAAAAGCACAAGACACCAAACTAGCGACAGTGGTAAGATGCAGAGACACACGATCCACAAAAGCAGATCTACAGATGCAGGAACTGCAAGCGGTGCCAACTGCAGTTTTCCTGACAACCAAGAACGTCCGAGAAGCAGCCTGTGCAGCTGCGTGACACCTAGCTCCAAAAAGCTCCGGCACGTTCTCAGGTGCACTCCGCTCTCTCGCCTACGCCGACATCGCCCTCCAGGACTCCCAGTGAGGGTTGTTCTGCTTGGACAGCTGCTTAAGCTTGTCCTTCACCGTCACTGTGCTGCCGGCAGGCTTGGCACGCTCCCAAGCCTCCTCCAAGCCCTTCTCCTGAGCGGATACACTTTCAAGTCTTAATGCCTCTAGACCACCCAGCTACTTCGACCATGTTGCCAGAGACTCCCATATCCCTTAAATCATATCAGGGACCCTACTATAATTTAAGGTATATTCCTTAATCAAGGGATATTGGAGTCTCTGGGTTCTGCGCAGCCCACGGAAGAACCGGCCATCTACCGCTTACTGTCATCACATCGACCACTCAAAAAAACAAGCGGTATCCCAATCAGCTCGTGTGTCGTAGTCATCAGGGTTGATGAGGCCATCAAGGGGATCCTTGGAATTGGCGAAGAGGGGATGCTCCCTCCAAGCCTCGTCGAGCTCCCTGGCGCGCTTGGTTCCTGGGACAATGCGCCAGAAGGCATCCTCCTGGAAGGAGTACAACACGAACATGCCCATCGCCACTGCAGGGAAGACAAGGGTTGTCAAAGGCACCAGCACTGCCGCAAACTTGCGCTGATCTCCGTACTTGGCCTCGGCATCCTGTGCCAGCATGGTCAGTGCAGGCAAGGCCGCGGAGGCAGCAACCGCAGGATTGAAGTCGGACTTGGCCCTGGGAGACTCAGAAGGGCTCGGCACAAAGCAGCAACGCAGCGCGAAGAGCAGCGCAGCTGCTGCAAGAAGCAGGCGTCCCGGGCGAGCCATGGCAACCACTGCAACAGAGGCTTGGAACAGGTTCAAAAAGCTGGCTCTAGAGCCTCGTGCCGCGGGAAGAAGCGATCCATGCCGAAAGAAGCGAAGAAGCTCCAGTGCGAAGAAAAGATGAACGAACGACAGTGCACGAAATCAGGCACAGCTTGCACACAGAGCAGAATTCCATTTTTTCAACAACACAGAAATGCACAGAACGTCCACGAAGCAGCCTACGTAGCTGCATGACACTGGCACGTTCTCAGGTGCACTCCGCTCTCTCGCCTACGCCGACATCGCCCTCCAGGACTCCCAGTGAGGGTTGTTCTGCTTGGACAGCTGCTTAAGCTTGTCCTTCACCGTCACTGTGCTGCCGGCAGGCTTGGCACGCTCCCAAGCCTCCTCCAAGCCCTTCTCCTGAGCGGATACACTTTCAAGTCTTAATGCCTCTAGACCGCCCAACTACTTCGACCATGTTCTGCGCAGCTCACGGAAGAAACAGCCATTTACCGCTACCGCTTACTGTCATCACATCGACCACTCAAAAAAACAAGCGGTATCCCAATCAGCTCGGGTCTCGTAGTCATCAGGGTTGATGAGGCCATCAAGGGGATCCTTGGAATTGGCGAAAAGGGGATGCTCCCTCCAAGCCTCGTCGAGCTCCCTGGCGCGCTTGGTTCCTGGGACAATGCGCCAGAAGGCATCCTCCTGGAAGGAGTACAACACGAACATGCCCATCGCCACTGCAGGGAAGACAAGGGTTGTCAAAGGCACCAGCACTGCCGCAAACTTGCGCTGATCTCCGTACTTGGCCTCGGCATCCTGTGCCAGCATGGTCAGTGCAGGCAAGGCCGCGGAGGCAGCAACCGCAGGATTGAAGTCGGACTTGGCCCTGGGAGACTCAGAAGGGCTCGGCACAAAGCAGCAACGCAGCGCGAAGAGCAGCGCAGCTGCTGCAAGAAGCAGGCGTCCCGGGCGAGCCATGGCAACCACTGCAACAGAGGCTTGGAACAGGTTCAAAAAGCTGGCTCTAGAGCCTCGTGCCGCGGGAAGAAGCGATCCATGCCGAAAGAAGCGAAGAAGCTCCAGTGCGAAGAAAAGATGAACGAACGACAGTTCACGAAATCAGGCACAGCTTGCACACAGAGCAGAATTCCATTTTTTCAACAACACAGAAATGCACAGAACGTCCACGAAGCAGCCTACGTAGCTGCATGACACTGGCACGTTCTCAGGTGCACTCCGCTCTCTCGCCTACGCCGACATCGCCCTCCAGGACTCCCAGTGAGGGTTGTTCTGCTTGGACAGCTGCTTAAGCTTGTCCTTCACCGTCACTGTGCTGCCGGCAGGCTTGGCACGCTCCCAAGCCTCCTCCAAGCCCTTCTCCTGAGCGGATACACTTTCAAGTCTTAATGCCTCTAGACCGCCCAACTACTTCGACCATGTTCTGCGCAGCTCACGGAAGAAACAGCCATTTACCGCTACCGCTTACTGTCATCACATCGACCACTCAAAAAAACAAGCGGTATCCCAATCAGCTCGGGTCTCGTAGTCATCAGGGTTGATGAGGCCATCAAGGGGATCCTTGGAATTGGCGAAAAGGGGATGCTCCCTCCAAGCCTCGTCGAGCTCCCTGGCGCGCTTGGTTCCTGGGACAATGCGCCAGAAGGCATCCTCCTGGAAGGAGTACAACACGAACATGCCCATCGCCACTGCAGGGAAGACAAGGGTTGTCAAAGGCACCAGCACTGCCGCAAACTTGCGCTGATCTCCGTACTTGGCCTCGGCATCCTGTGCCAGCATGGTCAGTGCAGGCAAGGCCGCGGAGGCAGCAACCGCAGGATTGAAGTCGGACTTGGCCCTGGGAGACTCAGAAGGGCTCGGCACAAAGCAGCAACGCAGCGCGAAGAGCAGCGCAGCTGCTGCAAGAAGCAGGCGTCCCGGGCGAGCCATGGCAACCACTGCAACAGAGGCTTGGAACAGGTTCAAAAAGCTGGCCTCGTGCCGCAGGAAACATTGCAGCAGTTTCGATTCAGATTCGTGGGATTTGCAAACAGCACCAGCTCTGCACCTTTGCATTCGACGGGCGCTCCCCATCGAAAAGACCTTGGCATGGCACGACAAGGCATGGTCGCATTGAACTCTGCCTGATCTGGATCGACAACGCGTCAACCTGCCTGGGCGCGGTGCGCGCAAGAGCGGCCTCCCAAATGGATGCTTGATGGGCCATGTCCAACGGCAAGCCCCGGCGCGCTGGTCGCAGCAGCCTCGCGAGTTGTTCAGAGAGGTCGCGATGACCCGTTTCTGTACGCGCCTGTAGAAAGGCAAAGAGAGCACCTCCTTGCCGAAAACGACCGTCTGCCTGCCTCCGCATCGAAAGCCACACGAGCACAGATGATATTGCCAGCAGCGAGAACTCGTTCTTTGGACACGGGAGCCTTTCCCACGACCACTCGCAATTGCCGAGCAATTCCTCAGAGAGGTCAATGAAACAGAAGCCACCTCAAACTCCGTAGCTCTCCGTTGCGATCCAAGCATCGGCTCCTCCAGCGGCCTGCTTTGTGTTGCAAAGCCAACTCGAAGGTACCCACCTCCATTGTCCTTCGATCCCGCCACTTTGCAAAACGAGAGACGCGCAGGCACCGATGCACATCCTGTTCAGGCCCTGCACAGCTTTAGGATCCTTGCTGGCTTGCGGCCTCTTCAGCAATAACTCAAAACTCTGTATCACTTCGTCAAGCCCAAGCGGCCAGAACAATCGTCGGGTGCTCAGTCATGCCCGCGACTCCAAGAATGCTGGCGTTGTTCTGCATACTGTCACCACTCTGCTTGAGACCGATCGCAGGCCATTACAATCTTCTCGAAACTCTCAGTGTTGCGATGCTAGGCTGCTCCGCATGCACATCACCCCCTTCCCTCCCCTTAGATGAGCCAGATAACGTCCGACCAAATGCTGTGCATCACGATTTCTGGGAAATCCTAATTGGCTGAACCTTGCACCGGGATCCGCACTAAACACGTGTGGAAGACATGTGGCGAATCACTCGGCATCCGAATGTAAATGAAACTCTGCCTCATCTGATGGCTGCGCCATAGACTTCCTGTGCCGAACAGTCGCAAAACTAACCCGATGCACAAGGTGTCTCGAATCTCAACCAGGAGCGGCACCTTGAAGGTAGTTGAAGGGTTCGACAGATGGATCACAGTTCTCAGGCTGTTCTCAATGCCCCCAACCTCTTGGGCAGGGGTCCAGTGCTGCTGCTAGTGCTGCTCAGCTCTGCAGGACGATTGGCACAGGGAGACGGCTTTGTGGGCAGTGAACTGTGCCACGTCGTGGCTTCATGCGCCGGTTTCATGAGTGTCTCCGCTGAATCTTGGGCCATCATGGAAGGAGAGCTCCACGGCTCAATGCCTCGTAAGAATCCACGCGCTGGGTCCACATCACAACCTGTCACTTCGACTCCTCCGCCCCGACTTCTCAATGCACACTGGAAGTTTAACCACAAATCCTCACGCACACACACACACACACACACACACACACTTCCCGCTCTGTTTTGCCAGCTGGCCAAGCTCGCCTCGAACACGGATAGAACCTCGCAACGCATTTGCAACAACAAATGGAAAAGCAGCATCACAACGCCAAGCAACGGTGGCCCATGTTACCCCGCCTCTTTCAGACAAACGTACACACACAAGACAGAAACAGAGAGAGAGAGAGACGGAGAAAACAAAAACAAAAGTGCGCTGTCAAGCGAAGGACGAATGCTTCCGAAGTCTCCTAGACTTCGGGAAGGCTGACTGCATGCTTGAACTCTTCGACTAGATTTATGGCCGAGATGACGACAACACCGCCAGAAGAGTTCAGCTGTGGAGCGATATGACCAAAACCCAGCCCCGGCGGCAGATGACGACGATGAGGATGAACATCATTTCACATGTACATACAGGGAGATGGACCCAACTCGGAAGCAAGGAACCAAACCCACCCAAACCCACTGGTAGATGGGGGATTGAAGCCTAAACCCAACCCCGCCCATCCACAGGCCCACACGAGAAGGGGAGATTCAGGCCAAAGTCACCTGCCAGCAGAACAAAAATCTCAAACCTAAACAAACCCAAGATTTTCCGCCCCGCCCGGAGGGAAAGGGTTGTGTTTTTGATTTGGGGCGGATAGGGGGAGTGCGTGATCATGAAACAACAAAGGCGATGTTAATCTTATGGCATGTTGCTGGTGGTGCTGGTGCTGCCGGTGCGCTCCGCCGATTCTGCCGGTGCTGCTCATAGTGCCGGTGGTTCCGGTGGCTCGGTGTTGGTGCTGCTGAGGCTGCTCGCGCTGATAGTGTGCTGCGCTGCCGATGCTAGGGGTGCTGCCGGTACTACAAGGTACTACTGCTCTATTGGGCCAGCAGATGGAACAAATGGACCCATGCTAGGTTGTGAAGCTCACGGTCAGGAGCGCTGGGCCAAAGGCATGAGCAAGCGCCCATTGCGAGGTTCATGTTGGCGCCTTCGTGACCTGAGCGAAGTGTTGCTCTGCTGCATAGCCATGTCCGCGTTACACACTTGCAATCCTAGCAAGCTGCACTTTGGCTGGCAAGCAGTGTTTTCTGGCTGGAAATCTTAGTTTTTCTGGCGCGCCTTTCGATGCACCTCAAGTTGCAGAAGAAAATTCATGCAGCACGTGAACGGTTTTACCGGAGGCTGTGCAAAACTTGAGTTCGAAGAACAAAAATGAAGAGCTTGCGAAAACGATCTGTACAAGGCCTGTCCCACAGGAACATAGAGGGCCGCTTGGTCATCCTTGCCATTCACAGAAAGGAAAATTGAGATTGTACGAGCACGGCAAGTCATAGCTGCTTGCTAGCTCCAGCACACTGCAGAAAGGGTCGCGTCCTGTCCCCTTCAGGGAGGACCTGAAACCTTCGTCAGCAGCCGATTCAACTGTTGATCAGAAATGCCACGAGTTGCGGCTCGAATTCTAGCCCTGGCCAGCACGTGCCTGGGTGTAGCAAGCCCCCCCTTTTTTTAGGAGGGGCTCCGGTCCAGCAGGCTCTCCCCCACTCTCGATCCGAGACAACGGCACGGCCAAAGTATTCGGAAACCTCCTGTGACTAATGCAGCGGCTGAACATCCGGCAGCGGCATTCCAGGCAGAACGGAGAGAGCCTGCACGGAGGTAGGGGGAGGCGGCCTTGCTCCGGTGGACCGTCCACTGTCTGAGATGCCGGACGAGACAGAAAGCGGGGATCTCGCCGAAGCCACGCAGCGCAGTAGGAGTTGATGCGCGCCGTCGGCATTTTGCACGACCTGAACAAAGCCGTCGATGAAGTCGGCCTGTTGTGGGCTCCACTGCACCAGCCACTCGCTGAAGAAGCGTTGCTTCTGGGTCAGTATTGCGACTTCGCTTGCGTCTTCACAGCGGTCCACCTCTTCCCAGAAGCCTTGCAGTAGCTCCGAAGGCCTGCCGGGAAATAGTTCGGAAACTTTCATTCCCACCAAGTTTGCAGCCGCAATCGAGGCCCCTCCCACAGTGCAAGACTGCATATCCAGAATCATATAGATTATCGGACGAGGACTGTCTTCAAGAGACTTCACAGACATGCAACGGCTGCCCTCTTGAGGTAAACCCACCGGCGAGGCTTCTGCTGAGTTCAACAGCCTGTACGGGCAAGAAACGGATGAGTCGTCAGCATCGCCATGAAACGTCGCATCAAGTTCTCTTGGTCTGGCCAAGGACTCCTGATCGGTAATCTCGCGCAAGCCGATGAGATGATGCACGGCGTCCCCCATTTTGCAGTACTTGACCTGGAGAAGCTCCGTACAGAACTTGCTGGAGTTGGTGTCGACGAGCCGCGTGCTGAATGCATTTGCAGACAAGTCCTCGAAGTTCCCTTTGTTCAAGGCCTGCTCTGCCCGCGCGGCTTCCTCCTTTGTGGCCACGAAGTCCGTGAACGCAACCCCTGCCAAAGATGAGCCAGGCCGATCTCGCAAGAGAATCGCAGCAAGCTCTGGACAATGCTCGGTTAGGCACAAATCCTGCGAGGGACAAGATCCCACATGACATCGCAATTTCAACAGCAAGCCAGTCCTCGTCCAGTTCCAAGACCGCATCACAAGCCAATCGCAAGAGTGACGTCGCAGCGTTTAACTGACGGCATTGACGACCTTGCTGCACGGTCCGCCGTAATATGACCTGCCGTCTGCACTCAAGTTCCAAGCAATGCTCATTCTGATCACCACCACCATCGCATGTTTTCCTATTAGAAGCTTTCAGCACCACGAGCCATGCTTCAGACAAAGGCGAAAGCCGGGAGTGCAACTGGCCCATAACGGAGGGGTTTCGGCTTCAAATTCTCCGGTGATTTTGGGTTCCGTTGGAACTGGTCTTTGCTAATTGTGCACCATTCAGAGAGCCTGCCCTTGAGCGGTGATCGCAGCATGTTAGGCAACAACTGGTTCGTACAGCTGCACAGGCCGCACGTACTACACCTGCAAGAGTCTAACACGAAACTTCTGTGCAGTGATATTTTGCACGCTTCGTCGACATGGAAAACACTAGAAACAAGCTACGCACTGTGTTTCTCACGGCGAGTGCACTGGCGCCAAGTAGCGAACCATCATAGACCGCTGGGTGTTGTAAAATCTGCAGCTGCCATTGAGCATAACCTTCTCGATATTGCGCACTGCTGCTTAGTACAATGTGGTGGTAGCCTGTCAAATTATGAAACATCACACACGGAGACGGTGCTCTGCGACAAAAGGCATTTTGCCACTTCAATCCAGAGGTTGTCGATACCATGGTAGGCTAGCCTCAAGAAATCAATGAACAAAGTACAGCGACGATCAAAATGTCGCAAGCACTCTACGGGTACATCAGTTCCGTGTCCGAAGGGCTATCACGAGCGAGGATAGGCTTCTTCGTTGCTGTTCTATCCAAGCTGAATCACTGAAGGGGCCCCCTGCACCTCCTCCGACATAATTGCCGAAGAAACCTTTAGTTTTGAATCTAAGCTCCCTCCCACCCACAACCATACACACACAGACACATGCCACAACCACCGTCGCGTGAGATGCATTTGAAGAACATGCTTACTCCGTACACCTATCTTTCACGAAACAGTTCACACAAACTTGAGAGGCAGTCCTTGATGGTTGGGCACCTCAATCACAGCCTGGTGTGCGTGCGCGCGCGCGCGTCCGTGTGTGTGTGTGTGTGTGTGTGTGTGTGTGTGTGTGTGTGTGTGTGTGTGTGTGTGTGTGTGTGTGTGTGTGTGTGTGTGTGTGTGTGTGTGGGTGTGTGTGTGTGGGTGTGTGTGTGTGGGTGTGTGTGTGTGTGTGTGTGTGTGTGTGTGTGTGTGTGTGTGTGTGTGTGTGTGTGTGTGTGTGTGTGTGTGTGTGTGTGTGTGTGTGTGTGTGTGTGTGTGTGTGTGTGTGTGTGTGGGTGTGTGTGTGTGTGTGTGTGTGTGTGGTTGTGTGTGTGTGTGTGTGTGTGTGTGTGTGTGTGTGTGTGTGTGTGTGTGTGTGTGTGTGTGTGTGTGTGTGTGTGTGCGTGTGTGTGTGTGTGTGAACCTCCCTAGCACATGGGAGCAGAGGGTCACTCCTTCACGATTGCAGGGGAGCGCGGCATGGCTGTGGGACCGCACTCAACGAAGCTACCACAGTCATGGGATACCGAGTCTGATCAACTCGGCGTACCTGCAACCTTTTGGCAGCCCCCTGTGGTGCCAAGATTAGTTTTGAGGACAGGCCCCCTGTGGTGTCCAGATTAGACAAACAACATACAACATACTCTCCTCTTCTCACTCTCTTGGCCGAATCAGTCAGTGTGACTAGCGTGGGTCGTTGAGACTCCAGAGCAACGGCTTTCAGTCATGGCGCCGTGGTGACCCTCCGGGGAGACCGGTGATGAACCGGGTGTTCAGCCTTCGTTCAGATCGTTCAGATTCTCCCGATGCTACTTTATCTCTCTCTCTCTGATGCTCGCATGTGCATCTGACATGAGTGCAGGTGCGGTAATGGACGGCTAATGCGGTAAGTGCGTCTAGTGTGCAGGTGCTACCTCCCTAGTCTGTCCCGTAGTCGACCGCTTCTTTATTTCTCAGGGAATGCAAGGGCATGTGCATCCGACATGAGTGCAGTTGCAGTAATTGACGGCTAGTGCAAGTGAAACAGCGCTCTCTTCGGAGAGTACTCGGCCTCTCGCTTTTCTCTCCCCCTAACCCCACACCCTAAGTTGAGGACCACGCAGGACGTGGTACCTCTCATTCCATTGCTCCTGGGTGCTTTTCTGCACAGCTGGAGGATGGTCCGCCGCTCCTGGGTGTCTTTTGCTACACAGCTGGAGGGTGGATGATCCCTAATCCTGCTACTGGCCTTGGACCCTGCTCGGGTAGCTGGGCAGTAGTCACTCCGTTCCTGGGTCTTTGGTGACAGCTGGAAGGAGTGTCCTCACCCTAATCTCCCCCCCTAATTACAACATACAAACACATGTGCAATACATTGGTCAGAAGCTGCTAGCCCTGGACCCCTTCGAGGGTAGCTGGGTAGCAGTCTTTCCTTCAACCCTCCTTACTGTTGCCTTTGGGGGCCGTCGCGCCCAGCTGAGGAACAGTCCCCGGCTGGATCTGGGCTCTTGCAAGGGCAGCTGATCAGCCTTCCTTCCCCTCTGTCGCTTCTGGGGGCTTGCGTGCCCAGCTGAAGGACAGTCCAAAACCCTAACTTTAACGCCTCACTACATCTTGGACTACCACAACATCCCGGACCACATCGACAAGATTTGCAAGCGGGCATTGCAGCCCACAGGGTTTTGTGGTTTAGTTTTGGTTCGTTTAGGTCTTGGAGCCCTGGCGTGGCTTTATTTCACTGCACACAGCCGCCCCAAGGTGGGGCTGTGTGTGTGTGAACCTCCCTAGCACATGGGAGCAGAGGGTCACTCCTTCACGATTGCAGGGGGACAGCAGCACTGTCGCTGGGACTGTGTCCAACGAAGCTACACAGTCATGGGATACCGAGTCTGATCAACTCGGCGTACCTGCAACCTTTTGGCAGCCCCCTGTGGTGCCAAGATTAGTTTTGAGGACAGGCCCCCTGTGGTGTCCAGATTAGACAAACAACATACAACATACTCTCCTCTTCTCACTCTCTTGGCCGAATCAGTCAGTGTGTGTGTGTGTGTGTGTGTGTGTGTGTGTGTGTGTGTGTGTGTGTGTGTGTGTGTGTGTGTGTGTGTGTGTGTGTGTGTGTGTGTGTGTGTGTGTGTGTGTGTGTCTGTGTGTGTGGAGAAGCTGGGAGTGTGGGTGTGGGTGTGGGTGTTGTGTGGGTGTTGTGTGGGTGTTGTGTGGGTGTGGGTGTGGGTGTGGGTGTGGGTGTGTGTGGGTGTTGTGTGTGGTGTGGTGTGGGTGTGGGTGTGGGTGTGGGTGTTGTGGGTGGGGTGTGGGTGTGTGTGGGTGTTGTGTGGGTGTTGTGTGGGTGTTGTGTGGGTGTTGTGTGGGTGTTGTGTGGGTGTTGTGTGGGTGTTGTGTGGGTGTTGTGTGGGTGTTGTGTGGGTGTTGTGTGGGTGTTGTGTGGGTGTTGTGTGGGTGTTGTGTGGGTGTTGTGTGGGTGGTGTGTGGGTGTTGTGTGGGTGTTGTGTGGGTGTTGTGTGGGTGTTGTGTGGGTGTTGTGTGGGTGTTGTGTGGGTGTTGTGTGGGTGTTGTGTGGGTGTGTGGTGTGTGTGTGTGTGTGTGTGTGTGTGTGTGTGTGTGTGTGTGTGTGTGTGTGTGTGTGTGTGTGTGTGTGTGTGTGTGTGTCTGTGTGTGTGTGTGTGTATGTGTGTGTGTGTGGAACACCTGTTTGCCAAGGTTTCAATAATTCATTCGTATACTTTCATGCAGGGGGCGCGGGGTCCTCTGACACAGCTCGCGCCAACGAAGCTCTGTGTCAGATGGACAGGCAAACGTACCTGCAGGTCAGTTCCTGGGTGCTGGAAGCACAGCTGGATTGGCCATCATATACCTCGTACTTGCATCTGATGTGGCAAGGGGCTAAGCCAAGCACCCCACTCTAGAAGTAACTGCCCTTGCGGCTAATCCTTTACCTCTATGATTGAAAGACTGAGTTCGACAATTACCAGTCCAGAGGGAGGATTGCACGAGTGTGCTCTAGACGGCTTTCGTCGATCGTGCTGTCTACGGTAGGGTAGCCTACTGCATTGGCCCTGATCGGCCCAGTTACAATCATAGACCCTGATCGGTCCGAGCCCTGATCGGCTTCCTGAATCAAGACCTCTTGGTCTCGGAACTGCAAATGCTCTTCGGAGCAATCATATCTCAGTTTTAGGCCTGATCGCCTAGTTGTCGACGGGACTGAACCTCTTCGTTTCAAAACAGCCGTCAGTGAAGGACCCTGATCGGTCCGAGAATGTTCTCCCCTGGACACCATTCAGATTCACAGCTGTCACAGGATCCTGAAGACTGCGCTCAGAAACGGAACAATGGGGGTATCATTGGCCGTCACACCCACGCTGCTCTCTTAAACGCCCTGGCTGTTTCAGCTGTCGGTCGGCAAGCACCGCAGGGCTGCGGCATTTTGGTAAGACCTGCGAACTGTGGATGCTTGACCGTATTAATAGGATATGCGCTGCAGGGCTGCGGCATTCTGTAAGACCTGCGAACTGCAAGCGCAATCCTCTAATGGGGTTTGAAGTGCCCAATGTGGGCCACCCCTTATTTGTTTTTTCCGCATGTGTCATTTCACAGTCACAGTTCCTTTCTATTTCAATGCTCGCAGCCTGAGAGGTTTTTTCAAGCCCGAAGGGCGGCCTCCAGCTGCAACTCCTTTACTTTTCGTTTCCGTTACTTTGCTTTTAAGGCTACACAGCCAACCGCCCGCCCTCCTGCAAACCTCTGTCTTTTCTTTTTCTTTTTCCGCAAGAGCCAAACACAAAAGCCTGCTGGCTACCCCGCAAAGCGGGGTGTGTGTGTGGAACACCTGTTTGCCAAGGTTTCAATAATTCATTCGTATACTTTCATGCAGGGGGCGCGGGGTCCTCTGACACAGCTCGCGCCAACGAAGCTCTGTGTCAGATGGACAGGCAAACGTACCTGCAGGTCAGTTCCTGGGTGCTGGAAGCACAGCTGGATTGGCCATCATATACCTCGTACTTGCATCTTATGTGGCAAGGGGCTAAGCCAAGCACCCCACTCTAGAAGTAACTGCCCTTGCGGCTAATCCTTTACCTCTATGATTGAAAGACTGAGTTCGACAATTACCAGTCCAGAGGGAGGATTGCACGAGTGTGTGTGTGTGTGTGTGTGTGTGTGTGTCTGTGTCTGTGTGTTGGTTTGTGTTTGTGTGTGTGTGTGTGCGCCGGAGGGGGTGTAGGGAAGCTCTGTCGAACGAAGCTCTCCCCTGCACCCTAGGAAAACGTACCCGCATTGCCTGCGCCTGGGCCCCGTCGTGGGCAGCTGGCGGGGCACTCGAATCTTCGTTCATCCTTCATCTCATTTCATGCTATGTCATTCGTTTGTGTCTGGCGTAGCTAGGCGCAGAAACCCCCGGCGGATCATTTCATTCCATTTTTTTTTGCCATTCCTTCGGTCTGGCGTACTTGGCACAAAACCTTCATCTCATATTTCGCTGTCATCACCATTACCAACACCATCGCTTTTCATCCAGTGTAACATCCCGTGAGGACATACAAATCGCTGAGTGCAGACTACACTTCTCCTCTCTGTCTGTGTGTGTGTGCGCCCTCCTGCTGGCTTTGCTACATGCTGCCAAAGACCAAAGACGGACTCTCCGCCTCAGCGGAGAGCGACACGCCGCCCACGAGGAAGAAGGCCGACACTTCGGTCACGATTGCAGCGCGCTCGAAATAGGCGTCTCGACCGATGTTACAACTTCCGCTCTGGCACAGTGCAGCGTCCCAGTCAACGAAGGCCCTGATCATTACGACGGCTGCTGTACCTATGTTACTGGTAAAGACTATGGAAGCCCTAGAAGCAAAGCTGCTGGCCGGGAGTCGTAGAAAAGCAAGCAGAATGATCGACATGTATGGGACTCCATCCGCATTTGTACACCAGGGACTTAGCAAAAAGGCAGCGGCCACCATAATGGCCACGTAAAAGATGTCTAGAGTTGTCCGCTGAAGCATCTTCGGAAATACAAGGTGCGCTGTACAGAGGACGAACATGAGCAGGATAGTCCAGAAAAATGCTGCAGGTGCATTGGTTTGCCTCTCCTGCAAAATGCCCAGCTGTACTGATACGACTGATGCGCACGTAGCTATCAGCAGGAAATAACAATAACCTCGCGCCAGGCGCAATCGTATGAGACAAACCTCGCGTGCAATCCACTGCTCCTCCTCTGCATTCGTCTTGACATCATCGGACAAGCACATAACCAGCCAGCGTGACCGCAAAGCAAGACTGCGAAAGCACGATGCCACGCGGTCCCTGTATCTCATGGTTATGCTGAGTAGCTTGATGATGCAAAGTGCCTGAAAGAACCCACTGACTGCCAGGAAGATCGGAACGCTGCCATCAGCAATCGGTGCCGGCGCCTCCTCCATCGCCATGGAACATGCCCGCTTCTGATTTACTCCGTCTTGGGCCGAGACCGAGACAGGCCGAAGCGGCACACCTGTATGAACGGGAGCTCAGATTGCGAAGCCCATCCTGACCGACGTGTTACTCGCGTCGCAGCGCTCCCTGCAAGCAGGCCTCTACATACACCATCTCTAAAACCAAGGGTCGGTGCCACTGACTCTGGGACATACTGCGGCAAACTTCCAACCCTAGCGCATGGTTGCAGGTTTTTCGATGCAGCAAGAACTCCGCCTCAACATGCCAGCATTGCTGCTGCACTGCTGCATGCAACTAGCTGATTCTTCGGCAGGTTGCGGTGTGACCCGGTTCTTTTTTAGTTCGGCCGATAGCGCCCGAACCACGCACGCAAGAAATCCAGCTTCTGCCACATGCCTTCATTCACATCTAGAATGCTGTAGTCTGTGTTGCAGACCTCGGTGCAGCAAGAAATCCTCCGGCCTATTCTCACTTCGCCAGTGTGCTCAAACCATGACATGCTGCCAAAGATTCTCTCTCCCAAGCTTGCTCGCCTGCTCTGATTGCAAACATGCCACCGGCAGATTGCCAGGCGTACCATCAGCCGCTTGCTTGAGCACAATCTCCTGGCAAGCGCTGACCGTCTCATATAAGGGCTGCAGTGGGTGGAGAAATGGTGTTTACAATTGTTGTTTTTCTTTGGACCTTTTCTTTGTGGTAGGGCGGGGGGGTGGGGTTCTCTGTGTTTCCATAGGAAAATCTCTAATTTCGCTACGTTTTCATCCGAAAACCTTTATTTTCTTTATATGTATAGCAAAGCCTCTATTTTCGGTGTCGTGGTCACACCAACACCGAAAATCGGGATCACTTATCCACTCCGAGTCCGCAGCGTGCGTTTCCGGCTGTAAGCTCCAAACATCCTCGGATTCATCCTATATCTTAAACACACCCCCTCATGTGGCGATTCCGGTTCACCATTTAAACACGCTCCCGCATTTTCGCGATTCCGTTTCTTTGGCGACTCCGGTTCCTCATATATGACTCATATTTCTTTAAAACGACCCACCTCATAGGCGCTTCCTGTTCTTCACATATCTTAAACACGCCCCCTCATGTGGCGATTCCTGTTCATCATATATCTGAAACATGCCCCCTCATGTCGCGACGCGGATTCATCATAGATCTTAAACACGCCCCCTCATTTGGCGATTCCGGTAACTGAAACACGCCGCCTCATTTGGCGATTCTGGTTCATAGTATATCTCAAATACGCGCCCTCAGTTTGTGATTCCGGTTCATGAAATATTAAGCATTCTCCCTCATAGGCGATTCCGGCTCATCCTACGTTTTAAACACGCCACCTCACAGGCGCTTCCGGTTCTTCATAACTCTTAAACACGCCCCCAATTTTGGCGATTGCGGTTGATTATCTACAGCACGCCACCTCAAGTGGCGATTCCGGTTCATCGTACCGCCTTATTTGGCGATTCCGGTTCCTCATGTATGCCAAACACGCCCCTTTATTTGGCGATTCCGGTTCATCAAAAATCTTAGACACGCCCCCTGAATTCGTGATTCTGGTCACCTGATTCAGCTTTAAGATTCAAGCTTTAAGGTTCAAACCTCCTCGGACTCATCCTTTATCTTAAAATCTTAAACAAATAAGCAGAAAAATTTGCGTTTTCCTCTGCAAACATCGAGAAAATAGAGCTTTCCTGATGAAACAAGAAGAAGATTGGATGAAAATAGAGGTTTTTGCTATTAGAATATGGAGGAAACAGACTTTCGTATGAAAACATAGCGAAAATAGATGTTTTCCTATGGAAATACAGAGAACCCACCACCTCGCCACCAAAAAAAAAGTGCCAAGGACAAAAAACATTATGTGCCAAAAAGGATTGGCTCCCCCATCACACGCGGCACATGCCTTGTCTTTGGCGTGATGCTGTCATGCTCTTTCTGGGATTGCGGGGTATTGCCGGGCCTCGTAGCGAATCCATTGGTGAGCACCTTGGCGCACATTACACTGCTCGCCCGGGATCAGAGCATCACACAAAACATTCATTCTCCCTCCAACGGCTCACGCAAGGCACAACCAATACAGTACAGGCAGGTTCGCTTGTTTTCACTTATTCCTTTGGAGACTGCCCCATCAAATGAGCAAGCCCTATGCAGATAAGTCTTGCGGGTGCACGACAAAGGGCAGCTGCCCAGGCGTTGCACAGCACATGGATGTTCACAATCTCTCAATTTCGCAGCTGGGCCGCTCAGCTTACAAAGCAGGTTGTGTGCCGCAGGGCGAAGGTTGGAGCCGTTCGTGTGCAACTGCTCCCGCCATCCTGCTCCAGGAAATGCTCGGGTCTTGGCATTAGTTGTTGATGGCAGCTAAGCCCAGGGAGTTCAGAACCGATGATTGACAAACGCAACCTGCCGGAAAGCACACTGCTGTTGCTCTCAGAGTCCGACAAATGCCTCTCAATGGCCCGGGGTCACCCAGCTTCCAACCCGATGCCGTCAAAGGAGTTCGGGTTCTAAGGTGCCCTTGAACGGAGCTTCATTGGGCTCGGGCTTCGACAAGGAGCATAGGTAAAGCTGCGCTGAAGAAGTCCCTAAGAGCACGGGGCGCCTTCTGTTTCATACGGGGATGGCAAAGACTTACAAGGGGATGGCTCATCCGTGTCCTCAGTAAGTCAGTCTCACGCCGGGTCAACCCTCAATAACTTATGCCTAACTCTATCACCAGACATCTGGCGGTTCTGCTCTGATAAATCACGCGCAGGCTGAACGAACACTCCACCAACTCACAACTGTGTTTTCTCCATGTTTCCATGTATAGACACGTCTTGGAGCCACGTCGTGCATCGTCGACGTAGACAGAGTTGATGCCGCAATCGAAAGGATCGCAAGTTGCCACCTCTGCACAAACGGTCCCCCATAAAAGTGGCTCGAGTACTCAATTCTGTCTGGGGTTAGTGATACGCCACGCAGTTCTTGGGTAGCAACAGGAAACCACCAACACAGAGTCCACCAGTGTACATGTTCACTATGAAGCGTGTGTGCACGGAGGAAGGATGCTCACAGATTTTCCACCACACAAGCGACAAGGAAAGTAGCGTGATAACGACAGAAAGTGGTGGACTGTTCTGAATCCTTCTCGCAGGATGGTCGGTTAACCTTGTTGCCCTGTCGATAAGAATACAAACTGCAATGTCCTTGCCAGGACCGCGAGTTTCGTGCACGGCGCCCAGAACAAAAGCTTGCCATCTATCAGCGGTCGAAACCTTCCGAACCCTTTGATTGAACACACGTCATGCCAGTGCAAATATTGAGGCCGCGAGAGGATAGAACACTTTTCATCAAAGCTCTAAATGCGAATGCTGCGGGGGCGGTTTGCATTGAACAAAACCATGGCTTGAACGGCTTGGGCACAACCCTCCCTGAGAAAGAAAAGAGTCGCACACCATGAGTGAGCAAGCATTACGTGTCAGCCTCATACGAACGGGGAGGGGTCGCAATGTTACATCGAATGCAGAGTTGCCAGTGAAGGGATAGGAGTTCAAGCCTGGGGACCTAGGAATCGAGGAACTACATGGAGCCAACTGCGAAACTGCCCAAGGATTGTCTTCAGCTCTAAGCCACCTGTGCTCTGCAATGGCTGTGGACCCCTACAAGCTGTTGGAGCAAGGATGCGAGGTCGTCGGAGTCCATGCCCGAAATTTGCTCGTCTGTGAGGTTCAACTCCTGCAAGAAATTCGCGCCCGAGTCCATGAGAAGCACAGAGGTTCAGAAACAGGGTCAATCCGGGAACCCAAAAACCATCCAAACTCAAAACTTGCTCGCGAGATTTAAATCTCGCATCACGCCTGGTGGAACCCACCCCACCGTGGCCCCCGCCCCGAGTCGCATCCCAGCGGACGTTGGCCGCCGAAGCCTCTAAACGCTTTTGCGGCCGCCGCCGCACCCCGTATCGCGGCGGAAAACCAAAAGGAGAACATAGGAGAACCCAACCCTCCACAGTGTTGTTTTGCGAAAGATGGCGAAAAAGAAAGCAATGCCTCGCGGCCTCCGGCGTGCGTCAGGTCAGGGCTCGCTCGGGGGCTCCATAGAATTGCGACAGAGTGGTAGCCAGCGTTTCCGAGAGCTGGCGACCGAACATCCCACTTTGGCGCTACAAGAAAAGCCCATCCCTTGGTACAAGTAACGGTGCGCACTCAGAGATTGAGGAAGCTAAGCACAAGCCATCCATGCTCCTGCTTCAGAACGTTGTGGAAAGGAGTCGGCGCAAAAGTCAGCGCTTTGAGCCCCAGCTGGGAAGCCGTAACAATCGCCAGCAAGCCTGCGATTTTTCGGCTCTTCCGGAGATAGTAAACGACAAGACGTGGAAATCAGGGCCTCCGAGGGAGTGCCCCGTCATGATGATTTCGTAGTCTTCTAGCGCACTGCGGACGGTGGCAGCGTAACTCAAAGCCTGCATTTGGTGCAGAGAATAACCAAGCAGCTGCACAGATGCGGTCGTGCGACTGTTGCAACCTAACCTGAATGCCACTGCAAGGTTGTACCATTTTTGAGCTCGTCCTGGATTTGCGATGTAGCTGTTCATGTGCATGCAGTTGTGTCGGTGTTGCCTAACCGTCACACTAGCCTTGCCAGGCTGAAAATGTGATCTCTTCCAAAGCCTGCTCCACAAAGTTCAGCTGTTCCCTGTAGCCTTCGCACGTCTTGTCGTCCTGGACCGATTTGGCTTTGGCAGAAAAGAGACCCTGATCGAATTGGAAACAAAGCTTGTCACGAGAGCGCCATGCAATAGCAAGATCACTGTGCGCGACATTTAGGACTAGATAAATACCGTGCGATGAAACTTTATTCATCCATCTCTCCGTGGACATGCATCGAAAACATCCATAAACTCTTCAGAAACACATGAACCACACACACACACACACCAGGCAGGAACGGGGCTTCTGGACTCCAGCAATCGTCCATCAAAGAAGCTACGACAAAGACGAACTGCCGCCACGGCACTGCTCCGAACGCGGCAGCGACGCCCTCCGAGAGCTCTCCTAAATGCTCAATATAATATAAGATCTGGGAATGCGATGCCGTTCATAAAGAAGCTTCTGGAGAGGTACCACAAGCCTGCAAAAATCATCTGTCTCTACCGAGACACCGTAGGCTCCGATGCTGTTGAGCTTGCAAGCATCAATGGTGCATTGTTCAAGGCCTGTGCATGCAAACGAAACAAGAGTCAAATAAGCTTCTCTACGGGCCCAGCCTATTGTGTCACAGATGCCTTTGAAGACGACGATGGCCGCACGCATCTCGTCGTTTGCAAAGACTCTAGCAAAGACACCACCCTTCTCCGGATCCCGATCGAAGTGCTTCTTTCGAAACCAGGTACCAGCACCTTCGCAGTAAGCGAATCACAACTATGAGCTGAGCGCTAGCGGGGCAAACAAGCCTGAAGATATGTTGGCATCAGCCAACCCCGGTTGAAACTTCGGGGTGGTGGTGTTGTACCTCAATGTCCAGGCAGGCAAAAACCATACTCTCTACTGCTAGATCATGCGCTTACGAAGTCACCCTCGACTGTTCTTGAAATGCATCGGTTCGACAAACCTCGTGCTTGTCACGATCAGTGCATTCTGCTTTCAAGAACTGGCCACGCACGGCGTTGCATGATTCATGCTGGAACGAAGTGCACCGTTGAACAACTCGAACAGAAACAGCATGCAAGCAAAGCAAGGCGATGCTGCACCAAGCTGCATGTGACAGGTCTCATGCGCATAACACACAAAAAGAGAATAACAAAGCCATAACCTCAAACCCCACTACGTTCTGGCGGCCTTTGCGATTGCTGCATTCCGGGTTACGTTAGACCGACAGCCTGCACCAAGACAGCCATGCGCGAGAGGAAAGTACCTGCTCGGCGGAAAAGAGCTAGACTAACGATCACATGCCACATTTCCGCAGCGGGCCTCCAGGGCTGTCTGCTAAGATGGCCGACATATTGAAGAAGCCACTGGGAGGGACCCGTTGCCGGCCGTGGCGGTCCCGTGCATGCTGCAGGAGCTGCATGCTTTGCTCCTCGTGAGCTTCCTCATGGAGCGCCTGGCGTGTCCTAGCACAGCTTTGCTCATGTCCATGGCTCCCAAAGGCGACACAAGGTCACAAGAAGGTTATAAGGTCCTCTCCGACAGGCAGCTGGCAGAGCTGGCAGAGGTGGCAGCGGCAGACAACACGGAGACAGGGCAGCTCCCCGCTATGACAGCGACGTGCAGCCATCGCATCATGCTACAAATAGAAAGGAACTACGACGACAACGTTGACATGCAGCTGGAACAGCTAGAAGCATCGAAATACTCTTGCCTGCTTTCGTGCGTGGAAAGGTGCTACATGGATCCGCAAGTCGAGAGTTTTCGACTCACCTGCGGCCAGAAGCAGTGGCCCATTATCATCGCCGCAACCGGGTCCACTCACTTGCTTGCTGCTTATTCCCATCGCAGTGCTCTCCGGCTGCACTGAGACCGCCGCAGCAGACACAGCGACATCGAGGGCCCGGAAACCCCTCAGCATCGCGGCGAAATGTGCGGCAGTTTCGCATGCAATCTGCTTTGTACTTCCTGGTCGCGAACAGCACGAACAATGCGTTGGCCTCGATGAGCTGGTTTCGAGAACGGGAACTTTGGGCAAGAGCTCAGCTCGTCTTTTTGCAGTTTCGGAGGATACGGGCAGATGCCCAGACCATCTCAGGACAGCAAAGGCCCCAGGATCTGCATCGCTCGCTTGGCCTCGGGATGTTTGCCTCGGATCGGGCAGAGCGGCAGAGCAGAGAGAAAACAATCGAAGCCAATGCAAGGCCGAGCGGCACTTGTCCGGGTGGCAGAGCCGCATGATGGTCTTCACCGTGGAGCGCTGATCTTTGGCAGCAGGAAGACCGGCTTCACTCATGCCTGTGAAAATCAGAAAGCCTCTCATGGTGGTAGCATCTGGCAGACTGGCTGCAAATAGTCTGCCAGCTCACCCTGAATCTACTCTCAGCTTTCCTATGCCCGCAGTGGGGAGGCTTGGAATTGTGCATTGTTCCTGTTACAACCGAGCGCAGTTGCAAGGGCTTTTCTGCTATTTCAGCCAAAGGGCTCACCAGGATATCCTTCGGTCTGGATTCGAAGCGCAGGGCTAAGCGCACGGCAAGGGCCTCTGCGGCATCAGGCTTCGCAACTATAACAAACTCTTATGAAATCGTCTGGTGGAGTGGCACGTACAGCAACTACTGTGCACAGTAGCTGGACCTGTGCCAGACTGCAGCTGCCGCTCGCGGCGTCTGCCCTCGCTTCCGCCTCGCATTCTGCGATGACCAGCCTGCAGAGGTGCTTCGAGCATCTGGCCAGCTACCGAATCCAACACAGGTCCTCAGTTCTTTGCAGCTTTCCGCCTTCGCGGCGGTGCATGCGTCGCTTGCGGTGCCATCGGTCGCGGCGGAACAACCTGCCTCATCACAGTTCCATGTCATTTGATGCGCCTCTCTTCCTAGATGTTGTCTCATCATTCGAAGCAGGGCGGCTGCTGGTACTGAGGCCGCTGTCTTGGCATTGCAGGACCTTCAGCAGGCTACGCGGCGGGCATCGCAACTCCGATGAGATTGACCCGTCATAATTGTCATGATCTGTGCCAAGGCTCCGGGGCGAAAGGGCTCTGGCTTCGGAGGAGAAGGCGGTGCTGCCTGCCAAGTTTTTGAAGAGAGCACCCAACGCTCCGCACCGACAAACCTTAGCGCACCCAGGACAGGGAGCAAAAACCCCTACGAGCGGCCTTTGGCTCCCACCGCTGCGTGGCGCAGTTGAAGTGGTATTCAGTCTTGGGCTTGGCCTTGGCCTTTGCGAAATGCTCTTCGCCTGGCAAGCATCAAGACTGGGGCATGTGTTTTCCGATGCTCGACAGCACAGTCTTCGGGAGAGGGCAGAGCGGGCCGGGAAGGGTCTAGGGTGCTTTCCTCGGTCAGGAAACTTCACAGATTTTGGCCCTTGTGGACGATAACAATGTGCGGAAAAGAAGCTTTGTTGTGAGTAAGGCTGCAAAACCCAATGCAAAAGGCTGAAAATCCATCAAAGACACATGCACCTCTTAAGCATGAGCCCAAGGACGAAATGCGCGAGAAAAGGCCTGATTTTGGACTTCCTGCTTCGCCGAAAAATGGTCTGTGTTTTCCATTCGGTCGGAAATTTCGTCGGGGCCATTGAGTTCGCCTCCTGGAGAACCTTCAACTGCGGCTTTAAGGCAAAAGCCGAAGCCGACGAAGGGCTTACCCGCTACCCAACTGCAACCTAAACCACAAACTCCACCAACACGGGAGAAAGCTATCGCACTTTTACCATGCAGCTGCAAAACATAGGGCTTCAGTGAAGCCGACATAAATGCGCGGGCAGCCTTCTTTTCCAAGCTCAGACTGAGACGAAATAGGAACTGAAGCTCAAGGCCCAGGCCGGACCGCCGGAGGACTAAAATAAAGACAGAATGCAAAAAGAAAAAAAGAAAAACAGAGCATAAAAGCGATCACAAAGACCAGAAGCCTGTGTCCATCGGTCGCGACTGCTGTGCCGCCTGCGGCGCCGGGGCGGGGTCGACAGACCTTAGAACCCCATGCCAAGCACGTCACCTAATGTGGCTTCGCCAACCTGGAGCCTCGACGAGGCGGAGCCACCCTCGCGTTCCGCTGCTCGAAGCATTTCCTTGGGTAGCTTTGTGGTGCATCGAACGTTTCTGACCGTCTCTGTTCAATCTTTGTCCCAGCTTCAATGAGGGATTCAAAGGCTCCCTCGTCCTCCTCGTCATCCTGGTAGCCCCACTGCTGCAGGACAGATCGCAGGTTGTATTCATCAGCAACTGCGGGCGCCCTTCCGTGCTGCGAATCCGAACGTCTGGGCTGCTGGGTTTCAGGTCCTCTGCAGCTGCTGCATCTCTCTCCGCCTGTTCGAAGGGGTTGTACTCCTGCATGTAGTGTGCAGCCCGTGATGCAACGGCTTTCATGAAAGAAGGTCAATCAACAGGGCCTTCTCGTTCTTCGCAGAGTGAGCAGCCTCCCAACATGCCGGTGCTCCAGGAAAAGCGCTGCTGCACTGACATTCGTTCAAAGCGAGAAACCTGTGCCGCATTTGCACTGGCGAAGGGATCGTAGTCGGACTCTTCGGTTGGTGCCTGCAGCATGCTCAATGTGAAGAGTCTTGCTGTTATCCCTGCAGAGCAGGCTTTCAGCATCTTTCAGCGAACGCCCCATCAGATTTTGCCGGTCCAGTGCAGGCAGCCCCGCGCTCCTCTGTGTCAGCATCGTCGTTCTCCGGCACCTGTCCAATCATGTGCAAGCTAGCTGCTACGGGTCAAGCCGTCGTGTTTTCAATGCTTCAGGGAGAAAAGCGAAGAAAACTTTGGAGCCAAAGCCTTGAATTTCACGGGGTGGATCCTCGGAAAACTACAGATGTATACACCACCATTTCATAAGCTCATGTCGCAGAGCAGGGTCGAAGTTGCAAAGTCGTTACGATCTAAGAAGCTGTACACGACTGCAGATTACCCTTTCAACATATTGTCCCCACCCTCCCGAACATTATTTCATGATTCAGTGCACCGTCTACTGGAGGAGCTCTCTGCCTTCTCCAGTGAGAAGTCTGTCTCTACTCCAGCACCAAACAATGCGGTGACAACTCATGTCTGCTTAGCTCTAGCTCGTGGTGCCAACGCCGCTTCGGCTGCATCTCGAGAGGGAGGGCGGGGGATTGGCATGAGCTTAAGCCAAGGGCCCGGGCCTGCGGTGAAGCCTCGGAGGCCTCGGTGAGGTCGTCGCGGTCCTGCCGGCATGTCACGGCATGTCACGGCACGGGAGCTGGGGCCTGGGGCATCCCGCCCCCTCTGCAACGGCACATGCTCCTGCTCCGCAGGCTGCACAGGTCCACCTTTCTTGTCACTGTACACATCTCACCGAACCACAGAAAAGCAGAACCCAGCCTGCAGGATGCTGCCCGGGCGCCTGCAGCAAGTGCCTTACATGCCAAGGTTCACTGTGAGGTGAAGAAAATCTTGAACAACCGGTGGAGACAGGATCCTAGGCAAGTGCTCGGCGCTTAAGTCAGACACAGGCCCGCAGTAGCTGTCACACAGTTTAATCAAGATCAAGCGGGAAAAGTTATCTGTTTGGGGGCAGGCAGAAAAGCATCGGAAGTCATGATGCGCAAGATAGTGGCACGGCCACATCAGCAAGCCTTCAAGCTTAATGAAGAAAGGATCTCTGCTTGGCGACTTGAGCCCCAGCCATAAGATAGGCATCCGACTAAACCATAGAGTAGGACCACTTCCCTACCCCTACCCACCCGCGGCCGAAAGCAAGATCCCCATGCAACTGCACGTACAACAACAATGTTTTTACACACCAGAGTTTCTTGCGAACGGGATCGTGTTATCAGCTAAAGTGTTAACCACAAGGAAAAACGGCTGCAACTGTGAGATGCCTTCCACTGCAGTCTCGGGCATGTCATGTCAACGTGCCAGTCTTTTCGTCTGCTGGGACCCGGACGGCGACAGATGCTGTGGAAGTGTCTGAGGAACGTTGGGGTGGTGTCGTGGCTGTGACGTTGAGGAGGGAGCTGCTGCATGCTGAGGCTGGACTTGCTGGTCCAGGTAATGCTGCATGCGGCCCTGCGGAAAAACAGGTGTTGTGGACACGGGTTGTGCTGGCAGGCCCCAGAAGTGCGCCGTCAGCTGGTCAGAGCTTGCGCGCGCCACCCTGGGTTGCCACAAGCTTCACGAAAATCACGAAACTCGCAGGTTTCAAGTTGCCTTGATGTGCAAAGCCTACTCGTGCATCCAGACACTGCGCTCTTGACGCCTCTTCTTGGCCAGCTGCCTCCTTCAGGGAGGGAGCCAAAAGGGCGAGCACCCACTTCGAGAGCAGCCAAGTCTGTAGTAGGAGCACGCTAAACGCATCGCAGCCGAATTTTCACGGTGCTGGAGGCCGGAAGATGATGTGCGTGACGAAATGGGCAGAGCACAGCGGGAAGGGAGCACCAACTCTGTTGTTTGGAATTCACAACATTTCACCATGACTTGGACTGTCACGGAATCGGTGTGTATGCCGACCAGGTGCCCCGCAGCGACACCATCCTCGTCAACCCCAACGTAAGAGCGTTCTTATCAACCTGTTCTGCGTACATACTGCCTTCCTGCCTGCCTTCCTTCCGACGTTCAGCCTCGCACATGGGCAGTTTTCTTGGACTAAGCAATCCCCATTTTGCAGAACTGCCTGAAGTAGCACCCTGCCCTCTTCCACTCCTCTTCTGATATCAACCCAGTCCCCTGTCCTGTTGCCACATTTGCATGATGCGCTGCCTCTCCGCCTGCCTGCCGTGCTGGAAGATTCTGGAAGCATCTGGAGTTCAGAGTGAACAGCAGGGCCGATCAATCAGGCAGGGATGGCCTTGCTCTTTCCTCAGCTTCCTGGCATTGTCTCGTTTCAAAACATCGACGTCGCAACTCCCGACCCTCTCTGTCTGTCGCCTGCCGCTCCCGTTCTCTTCTTTCCTCTTCCTCCTTGGCCGCCTGGGCCTCCGCCGCCGCACGTTCTGCCTCTGCCGCCTCTGCGGCGCGGCGCTCCTCGGCCTCCCGAGCCGCCGCAGCCGCCGCAGCCGCCGCAGCCGCCGCCTCCTCTTTCGCCTGCCTGGCGACTTGAAGGGGGGGGGGGGCGAACTTCCAAAGCCGCCCCTTCACCCTGCACTGTGCTTCGGCAACTTCGGCGCAACTGAGAGCCGAGCTGTTGAAGGAGCTGCTGCTGCAGTTCCTGTTTCAGCTCCTCCTCCTCGCGCTTTTGCCGCTCCAAGTCTCTGCGATGCTGCTCCTGATCAACGATGGCGCATGACGCGACATGCATTCAAAATGATCCAGGAGGGGTGCCTGGACCAGCTGCTGCTGCTGCTGCCAGTGCGCAAACTGCCTCGGTCAAGAGCCCAATGAGACATGCCACTTGCAAAGAAGCAACATGGCGGCGTCAGTGCCATCCGAGCTGCTGCTGATAGAGGTTAACAGGTGCTGGAACTGCAGGACTGGCTTTGCGGGCAGGCGCAGCCCCCCAAGCCATCGTGAAGGCGCCTCCAGCAAAGGAAAGAGAGCTCCTACACTTCACCTGATCACACCTTCGCATCCCGACATCCTTCCCATTGCCTCTCGGCGCAGCTTTCACCTGAGGCGCTGCCAGAGGCTCCGCCAGAGGCTCTGCCAGGGCTGGCTCGAAGGCTTTGTGGACGGGATGGCCATCTGCTGCACTCTGCGGAGGCAACTCCGGCGCCGGAGGCGGAGGGTCAACGGGTGGCCCTGGAAGGCACTCTCCGGCAAAACCAGTGAGGCCGGGAACTGCAGCTGGCGCTGGCTGCTTCGCTTGCACACCTGACAGACGAAACGTGCCACTGGCAAGGTTCACCTACGGTGTAGGGCTGCATCTATAGCTTTGCCAAACCCTGCCCCCCCCGCCCCACCCTCTGCATCAGGATCCGGGTGAGAAAGAGCTTCAACCGGAGGCGGGACCAGGAAACCGGATGCTTGGTCTGGTTGATGGACCGCAGGTATCCCATTGCTGTGAGCTTCCCTGCGTCGCTGCTCCTCTCAGCCGCAATCGGCAAAGGCTCTGCAGACAAGCTCGGAGCAACACCGCTGGTCCTTCTGGGATCCCGAGCTCCCCTTGCGCCCTGCGAAACGGACAGCCATCAGATTTAGGCAGTTCTTGCAAAGCAAAACATACCCTGCGGATCTCAGTCTGGCACGGCTTCGATGAGGCCGTGCATGGTTGTTGCCTCGGGATGGTCGAAAAATATCCCGGATGTCCAACGCCAACACGAACGCAAAGCCTGCGATGAATTGACAGAACCGGAACTCACGTTGCTTCGAGCGGCTGCTCCTAGATCTGGAAACAGATTTACGTCGCTTCTTCTTGTGCTCCTGGCAACGACTCGTCCGTGAGGCTAATGCTGTACGGTTCCAAGATTCCAAAAGAACCAGGCCCTGTTCAAGCTCCAAGCTGGCAACTGCACGCCCATGCTGCTCGGTCTGCTCCACCCAATAGTTAAGAGAGGTGTCACGAGTGGGTTTTTGGAACTCGAATTTTGTAGAGCTTGAACGTATTATATGTTGAACGAGATTGGAGAGTTTAAGAATTTGAAACGCTTGGAGAATGAAGAGTTTGAAAATTTGAATTTTTGAGAGTTTCGAGCTTGAAAGTGGGCGCGAGTTTGGAGTTTGAAAGTTTGAATGGGGATCCAGCTTGGAAGTTTGAAGCCGCGGGCATCGCGTTGCGCGAGGGAGCAAGGTGAAGGACCGCTGGAGAACGCGTACGGGTCCACAGAGCAGCCCTCAGGCTCCAGTTCGAAAGTTTGGGAGCTTGGAGTCTGAAAGTTTGAAACCCAGGGAGTTTGAGAGTTTCAAAGATCGAAAGGTTCAACGTTTGAAAGTTCGAAAAGTTTCAAACTTTCGGGGGGTTGAAGGTTTGTTAAATTCTCAAACTTCGAAAGTTTGAAAGTTTGAAAGACGTGGAGTTCGAATGCTTGACATTTTCAAAGCTTGAGAGTTTGGGAGTTTGAAGATTTGTAAGTTGAAAGAGTTTGAAGATGGAATGCATTGAAAGTTTGGGTTTGAAACCATGTTGACGTCCTCATTTTGAGGCCTGGGCTCGGTAACGCCAACATGCACTCGCCGATGCTCGTAGCAAATCGCAAAACCATGTCATGTGCTCGCAACATACACGCGCCGATGCCTGTAAGAAATCGCGCCCCCTGTGATGTGTGATCTCACAACAGACACACGCCGATGCCCGTAACAAATCGTATTCCCCGTGATTTGTGACCCCACAACAAACACGCGCCGATGACTTTGTGATCTCGCAACATACAAATGCCGATGCCAATAATAAATCGTGCCCCGTGTCATGTGTGATCTAGATCTGACATCATACACACGACGATGCCCGTAGTAAACCGTACCCCCTGTCCTGTGTGATCTCCCAATAGACACACGCCGATGCCCGAAACAAAGTACCAGACACGCCGATGCCCGAAACAACGTACTAGAATATACGACTACGACTACGACGACGACTACTACTACCACTACTACTACTGCCTGCTGAGCCGGTGTGCTTAAGACATATGGCGAACCGGTATGATGTTCGGAACCGCCAAATGGGGGAGCTTGTCTAAAATGAATGCGATGAACCGAAAACACAAATGATAGGGTGTGCTTGAGATATAGAGAAGGCGTGTTTAAGATGTATAATTAACCGAAAGCACCAAATGAGGAAGCGTAATTCGATGTAATTCGATGATGCGACAACGCTAAATGAGGGGGTGTGTTTAAGATCGCCACAAGAGGGGCTGTGCTTAAGATATACGATGTGCCGGAATCGCCAGATGTAATTGAGATATATGGTGAGGCGCTATGATGACCGGAATCGCCAAATAGATATACGGTGAACCGGAATCGCCAAAAGAGAAGGCGTGTTTAAGATAGAAAATTGAGCTTGCGAACCACATCCATACACGTTACCACATATCGGGCCCTTCAAACTCTGAAACTTCTGAATCTCGAACTTTCAAACTTCCAAACTCTCAAACTTTCGAGCTCGAAACTCGGCGGGCTTTGGAACTTTCCATCTCGACGCGTTTCAATTCTTGAAACTTTGCAAGCTTGCAATCTTTCGAAAGCTCAAACTCGCGAACTTTCATCCCTGGCAACCTTTTTGAGACCTTCGAACTCTCAAACTCGCGACTTCAGCCACAAGCCGCAGATCGAATCTGAAGCCAACCTTTCAAACTCCAAACTTGCGAACTTTCGGACTTTCAATCTTTCGAACTTTCAAACTTTCTCTCAAATTTGAAACCGTGGAATCTTCGAAAGTGCAAAATTGCAAAGTCTCAAACTCTCAAACTTCGAAGGCCGATCGAACTCGACCGCGGCAAAAGTTTGAAGTTTGAGTTTGAAGCAGCCAGTCGAGTTTGAAAATATCGAGTTTGAAAAGTTCGAAGTTTGACGCCGGCTAGCTTGTGCATACCTGGGTGCACAAACTTTCGAACTCCAGCACTTATCGAACCTTCAAACCTTCAAAGATAGAAACTTTCAACATTCACCTTCAAACTTTCGAACGACCTCGCTCGGGACACCATTCATAACTCGATTGTGCGGCGGCTTGTCCTTGCGCCGCACACGGCTTCTGGAAGCACTGCGTCTCTGCTTCTTTCTCCGCCGTGCTGCTTCGTGACCTCAGATCAGCGACAACATTTCCATTGCCGAATCAGCTAGCACTGCAGTTCAGCCAAGCCTTGACTCTAGCTTGGCTGAAGTAACTTACACCTGGGGAGTGCTGCCAGTCGCAGTCGCAGCAGAGCTGCTATCACGGCTTCTGGATCGATCTTTGCGTCTGTCGTGCTGCCGGCTAGGCGGTCGGTCCTCGCAGTGACATCGACACACGAGAGCCCGGCTATCAAGGTCAGGGCCAAATAGGGCCAAGTGTAAGTGGGACCTCGTCCGTTGCAAGAGCTTCCTCGGCCACGAACTGCCTGACTGCGCGATGCTTAGCGTCTCTGGCTGCAGATGCTTAATTATGCCACGTCCGCTTCCATAAGAGACACCGGCTGTTCCATGCTGCTGGACAACACCCGTTGAAACCTTGACACGTCCTGGACGGAGATTGGCAACGTGTTGCCCAGAGGACTTCGACCACGGCACCAATTAAAACGACACGGCGGCCGCTTTCCGACAATTTAACCGTGCTAGCACAATGAATGCTGGGTCCACAGCACCTACAACTTTCGAATCCGGGGGACCTCTGGCGCTGGAGCTCTTCAGCCAGTTGCCGATGACGCTCCTGCGAGTGTGCGGAAAGTGTACGTGGCACAAAGTCCCAAAGACTCTCAAAGTAAAGCCAGAACCCGGGAGAACGTTTACAGCCAAAAGCAACGACATAACTACGTATCATGAACGTATGCATCCATCCATCCATCCATCCATCCATCCATCCATGCATTTAGATATCAGCAGGCATCGACTGAAGCAGGGCTCTACGCGTTCCTCAACCCATCTGAATATAGACATTTTGGCACTCGCGCTCGACAGAGTCAGGTGAGGTTTCAAGCGAGGCTTCGAACAACAAAACTCGTTGCGGAAGGCAAAAATACATTGAATACAGACATTTATCATATCACCCATCCAGCTGAGCATCCATCCATCTGCAATCATACAACCAGCCGCCAGTCATTCAGTTATCCATCCATAGACATGGATTCAATGACTCCGTCATCCATCTATACACACCTGAAATAGCGGCAGTTATGCCAGCATCCAGCCATCGATCCATCCATCCATCCATCCATCCCTCCAGCCATCGATTGGATGCATCCGTACGACGCCGACCGGACATGCCGCCATCGACGGGGCTGCCAATTCGAGAGCGACGTGCTGCGTGAGCTTTGGAAGTTTCAAGGGCTCGCGCCGACCTCAAGAATCGCACCCCCAATGCCGCAAGGCACGCGTGTTGTGATTTACAATGGATATCGCCGCCCGAAAACCAAACCAAGCAGGGCGCGGTTTACACATTAACGCGAAGAGCCCAGCGCATTGAAATCTACCAGGGATACTACTATTATCGGTAAGCGGACATGCTGTACGCACCGTGAGAGTTGCTCGAACAGAGCGCGAAGGAGTGACCTGAGTTGGAATTTGAAAGGGATCGTCACGTCGTGCCCATTGCGCTCGGACCCAGACCTCGCATCTGTTGCAATTGGCATGCTGCATTAAGAACGACGAGTTTTATTTAAGACAGCATCGCACCGAGAGAATGAATCAGGAATATAGTACATCATATCATCGCCGAATCATCGCAGCCCGCCATCCCAAGCACCTCCACTGAAAAAGCCCTCGCCAACGCTACTTGCATCGGGCAAAAAAGCTCCTGCGAGCTGGTGCAATGGGTGTGGGATGGTGTTGGGATGTTGGGTCCGGGTCCCTCCAGTGATCCCCATCGGTGGCCGCGGCCTCGTCGGCCTCGGCTTCTCGTCTCGCCTCCGTCGCCTCCTCGGCAGCACGGCGCTCCTGCAAACGTGGGGCGACTGGCGTATATCCAATCCATTCATCCGATCCAGACACCGATCTCCTCCTCTTCTTCTAAGGCTTCTTGTCGGAGTCGCTCCTCTTCCTCCTCTGCCTCTCTTCTGAGTCTCTCCTCCTCCTCTGCTTCGGCTCGCATCCGCTCCTCCTCTTCTTCAGCTTCTCTTCGTAATCTCTCTTCCTCCTCTGCCTTGTACAAAAGCCCGGGCGCTGCAACGATGCCCCTGTATGCCAACCAAAGACACGAGTAGCAAAAACTGATACAGCGACCCACCAGCCTCTCTTCTTCTTCGCTCCTCTGCCTCCCACATGCGCTGTTCCGCCTGGTGCGCGAGATTGGGGGGCGCATCAGGAGTGCCGTGCCCTCAAGGCCAGGTGCGCGCGCGCCTCCTCCGCAGCTCGCCGACGGCGCTGCGCCTCCTGTCACTGTGTCGCTGCAACGAAGAGAAGAGGAGGTGAGAAGGCTTATAGAAGCACGAAAGTACTTGGGGGCCCAGCCTCGGCTTCCCGTCGTTCGAGCTGCCGAAGCTCCTCCTCTTCTCTTCGCTGGAGCTCCTCCATCTCAAGCTGCTCCTGCCTGAGGCGCTCCTCCTCTTCCTCGGCCTCCTTTCTCAACCGCTCTTCTTCCTCTTCAGCCTCCCTTCTGAGCTGCTCCTCCTCCTCTTCGACTTGCCGCTTCAAGCGTGCTTCTTCCTCAGCCTCCAAGCGCTGGCGTTCTGCCTCGGCGGCTTCCTGCCGCAAGCGCTCCTCCTCATTTATCCTCTCCTGCTCTGCTGCTTGTCTTTTCCTCTTCTCCTGCTCAGCACATGCCGGCAAGTGCAAGTGGAAAAAAGGGAACGAAACAAAGCGGTCTGATATACGGTGCAGCGTTGCCAACCTCCCCTGAATGGTCTGGTACCCAGCTTGGTTGAACGAGTCGCGAGGCCCACGTATGGGTGGATGGGCTTGGGGAAAGCATGCCTGAGCGTGCCTGTGCTACCCTGCCCCGTGTACTATGGGTGGGTGAGTCCGGGCTTGGATTAGGAGCATAAAAAATGCCCTTGCTTCATCGATGTGGGCGGCTCTTGCTTGCCTCCCTCATTGCTTCTGCTAGTGGTGTGGGCAGGTTTGTTCTTCGTGGATTGCCACTGTTGACATGTTCAACAGCAAGGGGCATTGAACGACCAGATCACCCGTCCCTATGTCGGGACGTCGCAACAACATCAAGATCCGGAATAAGCAACAGCTATGGGCCCTGAGTGACCCATTCCTTGGGGCACTGACGCAGTGATGCGCGACACCACAGGCGGGCACAAACCGGGGGTCTGGAAGAGGCGCGGGCCGCGTCACGCATTGCCACGCGAGGCTGTCGCTTGCTTCGAAGCGTATACTGGTCTTTAATCAATGCATCTTTACTCGTCAGTCAGTTGGCAGAACGAACTGCGCGTAGTCAATTCCGCATTGAATTGCTCCCCCCGTAGTGGTGGGTGTTTCTGCCATGGTCAGTGCCTAAGTACTCTTGTCACGGTGAATGCGGAAAGGTTTACCCGTATCGATAATGGGTTTACCCCTATCATCCCCAATCGATAGTGGAACCATTGACAAACCCTTGAAATTCCTCATCATGTCCCCTTTGCATGGGGCACCATCCCTTTTTGAACCTGGAGCTCTTGCCGGCCGAGCCCGAAGCAGCATCCTCTGCAGACATGCATACGGCTGAATACTTGCACCATTTGACGAAGGCAGGAAACGCTAAACACTAAACCCGCTACATCCTGTACCATCAACACGAAACCTGAATCCGTCCTGCCAACTCATGTCTAGGAGTTCTGGCAACGTAGCCAGGCGAAACCACGCCCAAGTAATTATTGGATCTACGAAGCATGGTCGGGCCGTGCGGGCTCGAACTGGGACGCCCCTTCTTATTACGACAACTGCTTCTGCAGGCGCTCTTAAAGTCAAACAAAGTCTGTCAGTCAAACGCTCACCTCGCCTCCTTCTCACGACGTCGACGCTCCTTCTCCTCTCGTTTCTTTTCTTTTTCTGCTGCCTTGACCTCTGCTTTCCGCTGGCGCTGCTCCTGGCAGACACTCACTGTCGACAGAGTTTATCCATCATGCACCATACTCAAGAACCGCTCGTCCGCAACAAAGCTGTGTGAGCATGCATGCCGCCAGTAACTGTAACTGTGTGTGTGTGTGTGTGCCTTGATTCCTTCGTCCCTTCCTTCCTTGCGAGCCTGTAGCATGTGTCTGTTGATATGTTCAATATTTCTTCCCAGCATGCAACCTGGCTCAGACAGCAAAGCCCTAGCGCGGTCAGGAACCCCGTGTTCGGAAGACATTTACTGGCGGCCTGTTCGTCAAGGCGTTGCTGCTCATGTCTTCCCAAGATGTGCCTCCGTGTCGTGCAAACAGAAACCCAGGGTTCGGCTTATTTTCATGGAACCCCTCGCCGGCTAGGCCCCGTGCGAACACAAGATGTGGCACTCCTCGATCATGTCACCTCAGCCGAGACTGCTTACGAGACGTATTCTCACAAGCTCTTCAGACCTGTCAACATCTGACCCAGCTTCCCATCTAAGTGCGCCACCATCTCCTTGGCGGGTGCAAGATGAGCAAGCAAACTAAGAAAGCACCGATCCCAATACGGACTGGTTAACCTGTTTCCTGGTTGTTACACAAACAGGAATCATGTTCAACATGGCCTTATATCAACACAGCCGTAACACAGCGCAAGGTTCCGACGTCAGTCTCATTGAGCGAGCTTGCCGCTCTTCCCAGTGCCGCGGCATCCTTCAGCGTTACTTGTGCAGCTCGTCCAAACTCAGGATCCGGAACGAAGATCACGGAGGATGTGCCACCAAATACCACGAACAGGTACTTGACCTGATGGGAAACGACGGCAAGATAATAAAAGCTACCTGCGTGTCAAGACTGAACCATCAGTTGTGCAGGAGTGGCCCGTGCCAACCAAGACACCTGTGGCTCTCTCCAGCTTGGGGGAAAGCCGCGGACGAGGATGTAAGACTCCTGAGAAGGCATAGTGGCATAGTGCCAAAGTAAGTGCTGAGCCGTCCACTTCTGAAGCTCCTCTGTTTCTCCATGAGGTAAGGGCACCTGACTAAAAATGCAGAACTACCTGCAACAAAGCTTTTGAACTTCGGTCACTGCAACCGCGGCACGGAGGGTTTGGCCCTTCGGGCTTCTCCTTTCGCTTCCTTTTTTGCGTCTGCTTTCACGTCCGGTGTTGCTGTAGCTGCTGTAGCTGTCGGTGCCGAGGAAGCGCTCCTTGGCACCTCGCCGGGGCATCCAAGCTGAGCTGCTGAGCTATAGGATGCGCTGCGCTGGTCGTTCAAAAGGCCTGTGGAAGCCCTGTAGGCGCAGACGAAGGGGCCGCTTTGAGCTGGGCCCAAAACCGCTCAGAGTCCAGCGGCGGCTTGTTGCCAGCAGCCTCTCAAAGCACACAGAGACATAGTGCAGTCTGCTGGCCAATAAACGTGGTGAGCAAATCTGAGACCACACCTTCTTCTCGGTATTGGTGCGCATGTCGGCTCCAGAAAGCGTCTGCACAGCGGCCTGCTCTAACCACCAAGTCGTCATCACTAGCACTCTCAAGCTGTAGACAGGTGTTTGGAACCCCGACCTGAGCTGCCTCGATGGTCTCGAAGCAAGCAATGGCTGTCACAGCAGACACGTCGAATCCGCCATCGAAAATCTCGGGCTCCCCTTGAAGGGATCCAAAGCGTGACAGGAGCTTGTGGACTCGGGCCGGCAGTCCTTTGAGTTCGTTCCCACAAGATCATGCTGACGTCCACCAAACTGCAAACCTAACTACGTGGAATACGTTAACAATCGCGTGGCTGTGCCGGGCCGGGTCCTGCTATGGCACCTTCTGCTACCCAGCTCTTCGGGAAGTTCCGCATCAACACCTCGTGGCATACTGGTCGTGTCTTTGAGCGCTCAATGTTCAACCGGAGCATGGCCCAACTCGCCTTCGCGCCCGGCGCTGCCTGTGGTGGATACCACGACATGGCGAAGAGGAAAATGTGGAAAGCTAAGCTAAATGCACTTGAAGTTGTTTCGACTTCTCCGGACTGCCTCCGGCTCGAAAAAGAAAACTTTTTTGTGCTGCCCAAAAATCGGACCCAAGCTCGATTCGAAACTGCCAGCATGCTGTCATTTAGCCAATATAGACTTGGGTTCAGCTTTGCCCTGCCTAATGCATAGCTGCATATCTGTCAGGGGGTTATAACACGGGTCTCATGCATGTCAGCAGACCCCCAAGCTCTCGGCTGTCGGTACAGTCAGCGACATACACACCACGACATATGCAAGAAATCTCTGAAGGCACAGATTGACACGACCGACCGTGCCAGCATATGCAGCCTAGGCCTAGTGTGTGCGTGAAGGCTTGCAGCAACGAGGGTTACCTGCTCTATTCCCAGCTTGCATGCTCCAAGAGACGCACCGCAACGGTGGATTCCGGAGCTCCTGTTCGCGGTTGGAACATCTTCCCCAACTCATGGTACAGCGAACAAAAGACGGGATGCAGAGGCCAAGCTAGGATTCGTGCACATTCATCATGTCTCCCGGCTCCTGTTCATGCTGCTCAGGGGATGTCCAGGCCATGGCTTTTTGCCGCCCTTTCGGCTGCCGACGAACTGACTTTCCATGAACTATCATATACTTATACATATATATATATATATATATAATTTATATATATATATATACCCTCACGTTGCATGCAAATCTTATAAGAGTCCGCGGCCCAACCATACAAAACGACACGGCACCAAGCGAGTCCAAAAAAAATCTGCCTTCGCTTCATTGCTCCCATCTGCAACGTTGGAAGAGTCTTCACATCTTTGCATGATCCATCCATGTGCAGAGCTGACTCTTCTCCTCATTTCCAACTTTTGCCAATCGTCGCTCTTGGGGTGAAAGCACGAAGATCAGAACCCCAAGGAAATTGCTTTGTCCACCTTCTTCTTGGTGTCGGCTTTTGTGTCCTTTACTGCAGGTCTGATTGTCTTTGACTCTACATAGGCCGTGCCTATACTAACGGCCTCAGTGTATCTCAGTATCGCATCCAGTCTAAGCGACGCGACTGAAGACACAAAAGCATTGCCAACAACATGTACTTGGCAAGCAACTGGTACTGCTGGCCGAGGTCGGTCCTGCTTTCACAGAACAACGGCATCGGGATGCAGCAAGGGCAAACTCATCAAAAAGACCCGTGCCCCGTCTTTCATTGGATCTTCCGCATACCATTCTTCGGCACCGCCTTCTTCTGAACCTGAACCACTCACCGAGGTATGTCACAAAAAACATCGCCCTCATCCACGGTCACCCCTTCAAACCTTTAAGCCCCGGTTTGGTACACAGAAGCCGCCTCACAACTACTGGTAGAAGCCAGTGTCGTTCCTGCAGAAACCCCGAGAACCGAGAAAGCCAAGAACCTACAACTTGTTCCTGGCTTTTGCAATGCAAACGAGACTCCCAGCTTCTCGGGACATTGCGGAACTTTCTGGTTGCCAGACCATCCGAAAGAGCACATGGTGCTGCAGACATCTACACCTCACACATTCATCAACGCCAGGATATGAAACTTATGTCGTGGAACATCTACATGATACCTCCGTGCATCTGAGAAGCATTTCTGGCCGCGCAATATGAAGTGCTTCTCACCTCACCACACAACTGCAGGGCGTGCGAGAAGCGCCCAGTCACCGGTGCAATTACTCCGCTGTTTGCATGAAGTAACAAGGAACTCAGAATGCCAGTCATACATCCTTGCAACTTGCCAACAGCAGGTAGCGAAGTAGTTGCTGTATTCGCATTTGCACCGACGTGAAATTCAATGTCTGAGGCGCCGGCAACACGACGAGCAAGATGCCTCCGTTTCTTCTTCGCAACAGCGCTTGGTTTCCAAGCCTGAAAACATCTCCCGCATGTTGATGGCCTTAGCTTACATCGGCTGAATGGTTTCGCCACAGTGCCTATGAGCTCATGTCGCCAAACCATTCAACCCTACTTTCATTTCAAACTTCGGCAGCTTGAATAAGAAGGTCGGTATTAACTCTGCTGTGGTACTTTGATACTAAATTTATTGATGAATAATGCTGCTCCACATGGCAAGCGACTGCCCTCCCTTTGCAGGGAGGTCAAACACGCGGTCCACAGATGGGCTTTCGCACGGCCCTGCAATGATCGGCTGGCCAAGTGCGGCACGGCCATCGTCACTGTCAGACTGACGTGTACCGGAATCGCCCAAGCAGGAGGGGGGCTCGTGGGTGCAGTGGGGAAAGCGCCGCAACTATGGAAACGTAGCCGAATATCACTGGCAGCCAAGCTGACACCTCCAGCCCCCATGTAGGGCTACCGCGCATCCTTGAATGCGCATGGGCATGCCTAGCCGTAGCCAGCGTCGGCCTTGGCTCGCGCCACTGCACTGGGCATCCCTTCTGACGATCGCCGCCGCCTGGATATCTACGCGTGCGATGCGATGCGACCCTCGTTTCGCCACTGACGTTTCCCTGCGGCGCACAAGCGGGCTGATTGCCCACAACTGGTTGTTGGCGGCATTCATTTTTGCGTGCAATCACTCCAAATCAAGAGACGCCCTACCGCCTCCAGACTGAGCCGCCATAATAACGCCGAGAAAAGTCAAAACCTGTTGGCACAGACAAAGCACAAAACAATGAAGGAGATCCTGCGCACACTGCATATTCGGAACTCTTCCACAACGTTCTTCGGCAGCCGGTCCGGGTCCACCACACAAATACGCAAAGGCATCACGGGAGGCAACATGATGTATCATGATGAATCCAAACAGTCGGGGAACGGTCTTGATACAAATAGTAACCAATTGCTCCGGGCCTCATGAAAGGAGAGCTGTCACTTGATTCAGTGCTGAAGAATGCTGCAAACGAGCCGCAGATCCACACTGTCAAGGCAAAGCCCGCAACGGCTCTATGCACGTGGATCCGTAGTAGGGGGATGCTGGAACACTGGAGATCACTGGAGCACATGACGTCGTACGCGTCCGCGAAATGCACGTGCCGCCAGTAGTGCGCGCGGCAGCCGCCGCGGCCTACTGGGCTGCGCCGTCGGTCTCCGTACAAAAACCTGCAATCGGCCTGGCTACTTCTGTTATCTCGCGCTTCCAGTCGCACAAACTACGTTCTCGGTATGCTTCCCTCAAACTCTGCGGTATCTTCGGGAGCATGATGAGGCGGTTGAGGCCTGCCTCAGCACGCTGCTCTTCGGAAACGTTGCCTCGCCCCTTCCGGCCACAGCCGCTGGGGCAGCACACTTGCCTTTCTCCCCTCGCTTGCCCGCCTTCCCGCCGAAGAGATTAACACACTTTCTTGTTCTGTTTCTACACGTTCAGTAGCTTACACAAGCATGCAGGCAAGCAGAAAAGGCGCATGGAAAGTCAAAGAACGCGAATTTGTCAAAGACTTTATGGTGCTTTGAATCCTATTATCTTGATTTATGTTTCACCAACATCCCCATGTCCTTATAGGACCGTTGCCGTGGTGTCTCACCATGACTCGAACGGGCGAAAGCGAAAAGCGAAGCTGCTCAGTGTTGGTCTGCCTGCGGGCAGGCGAGACTTCTTAGGCCCCGCCTGTCGCAGGTGGTGTAAAGTGAGACGCGGAGTAGGCGCGGTGAGACGCTGTTGGCAAGGCGTGCCTTAAAGCAAGGCGTGCGCAAAAGTTTCAAAGCGGGCGGGCGGGCGGGCGGGCTTTGAAAAATGCGTGCATGCAGCATGCTTGAGCTTCAAAGCTACCGAGTGGCAAGTTGTGAAAGCAAACATGCCATGTAGAAAACCAAACACGCATGATGACACATAAAAGAAAAGGTGTCACATGTAGCTTTGTTAATTCACGCGCCTTTTCGCGACAGCGAGGGGAGTCCCAAGTCGGTAGGCATGAAGCTACTAGCAGTCTACTGTGGTCGCTCCTGGAGTCAGCAAGGGCCTCATTTTCAGCTCTGGCAGGCATAGGCGCCCTGGGAAGCGGCCGGGGGCCCAGACCAGCGCGAGATCCAGGCGACAATCGCGGAGGACCTCAACTGTGCGGGGAAAGCGGCTGCCCGGTGTCGCGCGAGGAAGCCCGGGAGCTGCACGGCTTCGGCAACGAACCTGCCGCCAACCTCGAGGCCGACCCCGGCTGGACGTCTGCGCGCGGATGGGGCTCGCCGCGCCATGTGAGCGGGCTGACGATCGTGGCGTTAGGGCGAGGTGAGACCCGTGCCACAAGGCCGTAAGCGACGACCTCAATGCGCCGCCAGGAGGTAGCGCAGGCCGTGGCCAAGCGTGTCAAGTTCACCCTGGCAGCGGCATCGCGCGGCGCCAGTGGGGAGGGGAAGTCGCAGCTTGCACACCAGAAGAACCGGGAACTGCGCACTGGGTATGGAATTTTTTGTTTTTGATGACGAACTGCCATCCGGTGCTATTTCTTTGAAAGGTGGGGTCGCGGGAGGCTTCCCCGTCGGTGTGGGGAGGTGCGGCAGCTGAACCGGGGTAAACGGCTGGCTGCCTAGACACGGGGTCTCGCAGCCGAGGGCTCGCACATGAGTCTGCGCAAGGACGGCGGTGCTGGGGCACGGGTGTACGAAGCGGTGAGGTGGGGGGGGAAACATGCGCAGCAGGTGGTTGGCGCGTGGAGCGGCGCAGGACTGGAGCACAAGCCAAGCGACTTGCAGGTCGTCAAGGCTGCGGAAGCGCTGGCAGAGCCGGTTTTGGTCCTCGACAAAAAGCATCGTGTTCGAAGGGCTCCGAGCACGCTAAGGCCCTGGCGTTCCGGTGGGAAACACCACCCCTACCCAGACGGGCTCGGCTCTGCCTTGTCGTATACCGATATGTTGATTTAGCCATGCACGCCGAAGGAAGGGGCCATGGCATGGAGGGAGAAACCGGCGCAGTGGCGGAGCCTTGTGTTGCAACACCGGCAAGCCTGTGCAGCGATGGCCCGACGGCACCACACTGAGGGTAGCCGAGCGTCGGAGGCTGACTACTTAG